ATCCCTCAACGACCGCGGACACGCCGGCGTTACAGTTAACAATAGATCTCTTAGAAATTTAATTAATTTCTTAGAAATTTACCTGGAGGTGCTAAGTTATACTTAGCAGTAGATCTGAAGGTATAGTTAGCTAACTCCTACACTCAGGTTTCAAACTATATAGAAACATAATACTTTCTTCGACTTAGCTAATATTTGACATTTTAAATAAAACTATTTTTTCGGATTGTTTCGCGGATTTATTTTGATTTTTAGTTCCCGATGTTTTGAATGCTGTAAACAGCAATCATGGTCACGGGAGAGACTAAGGTTTTAGATGTCTCAAACGTCATTATACATATTATACATACTAACGTTTATTCTGCTTGATTCTTCCTTTATTTTCTTCCTACAAAGGAAACAAAATAGAGGAAAAATCAAGCAATTGGAGTTTCATTCAGAAACCTTTATCCCTCCACGACCGCGGACACCCCGGGGTGTCAGTTAATAATAGATTTCTTAGAATTTTAATTAATTTCTTAGAAATTTACCTGGAGGTGTACAGTCCCTCACACCTGTGAAACCTTGTTTACTAATATATTTTGTATTACTAATTATGCACAACGTAACTTTAAACTAAGCAAGAACCTCAAAAAGCACGATTAGGCGAGTCGATAGCTGCAATTATGATAACCAAACACGACTTAAATTCAATGAGTACTAATTAACTTTTTTATTAAGGTAGTTAGTAAAAAAATTTACAAGGACCTAATTTATTATAGGTTATACTAATAAAAAATAGGTATTATTGTACTGAAAATTTATTTAATTACTTTTTTATCAAGAACTAAGAAATGATGATAAGAATGATAAAAATAAGAATATACGAGTATTTTACGATTCTCTATACATATTATATTTCTACCTTTTAAAGGTTTAAGTATACATCGTAATGTAGTAGAGTGTGTGACCTGAAGATACGACCCTTGAATGTAGTGCTCAATTGCAATCCTCAGATTTTTAATTGATTGACAATTAAAAATCTCAGGAAGACCAACAGACAGAAATATTTTTTAGTGACGGTAAAAAACACCCAGAGAGACCACATCTCTCTAAAGAATTAAGAGATTGTAGAAAAAAGAATAATGAAAATTTTATGAAAGACCGCTGATTACCTATGTAGGCATTTTGTCATTTCGTAAAAAAAACAATTGCACACTATTCTCAATATCCATGTATTGGGACTTGTAATTAATTCCATTTCCATCTGTGATCTGACTTTGACTAGGGTAGGTAAAACGTATCTATAATTCAGCTGTAAAACTAATTAGAAACTTTTATTTATGAACATGTCATAGTTTAACAACGATGCGTACAAATACGGTAAAAATGCTCTTCCGTAAATCACGAAGAGTAAGATGTAAAAAGGTTTTCGAAGATAAAGTAAGTAGTAAAAATAGATATCATGCCATGCCTATACATAGCAGAAATGAAAACGTCACAAGTAACAACTACAAACGTACCGCAATACATGACGCTCAACAATGTAAATAATAGTTATTCATATTAGTAATAATTATTAATTAATATTTCTAATCTTTAATTATTAATTTTATTTTAACCACTAGAACCCCGCGCTTTATGACATGCAACACCCGTTAAACATAAAGCCCGCGCGTCATTTTTCCCCGATACCATAATTATCTAAAAAAACACTCAAATTCAAATGATATAGCATGTGTAAGCTGTTTTAGGTTTTTAAATAATATGAGCGTTTATGACAATATATAAAATACACTTTAAACTATTGATGAATTATAAATAATTCTTGTATTATATTTATTTCTGACAATACCACAATATATATTTACACTAAATTTAAAACACTATTTTATGAATAAACATGTAATCGCACAAAACCATTTCTAGATTTATTTATATTAGTTGTTAGTTACAATCAAATTCAAAACTTTATAGCTTTCGCAACTCATCTGTTGTATCTGCGCAACTCACCGCGCAATTTTCAAAACAATCATCTGAGTGTGGATTTTTAAAAACATACACCAATATATCTTGAAAATAAGCCACTGTAATTAAAATTCGGATGGATTTCTTATAAGAGAAAAAAATTAAGGTTACCTACCTATTTATTATAGACGCTCGTGTTGCAATGTAATTAACGTTTCTGTATATAAGTTTAGCTTAAATTATAAAAGATCAAGATACGCAATATCACTTATACGAAAACTTAACACTTTTCATTAAAAAAACTTTTCATTTAAACATATGAAGTTAACTTAAATAATGTACTGATAATCTTTTCATGCGTAGTGATGCTGTACCGTACCCCACAAGACTGAAAATTATCGATTATTTTCGTGAACGCTTAAGCACGATTACAATTATTTTTATATTTGTTTATAACAATTAAAAATTATATATATAGATGCAATAAAATAATGTATTTTTTGGACAAATTAAATAAATCATTAAATAAAGTGCAATTTATATAAAAATAAAACAAATAAAACTATTATAAAAAATCGAATAAATGCGAGAGTTGAAGTTTTGGCAGTCAAGTTAGCTAGCTCTCATAGCATGAAATTTTTTTATTTATATATTTTAATATATTATGCAATATATTATGAAAAAAGTTACATGTTATATTATTTATTGATCTACAATACTTTTCTTAAGTAAAAGAGCTTTTCATAAGTAGTATAACTTAATTTGTACTTTATTGTATTTCTATGACAAACAGGGACAATTTTTGTATGTAACAAATGCCCGTAGCTAAAAATATACCATATCTCAAAAACTACTCACACATCTTCTTCGAATAATAATAAAAAAAAGAGAAATATCTATCTCAATTTAAATATTTATACCCTTTATATGGTTTTATTTTTCACTGCTTTCATGTACGGAGTGACACCCCCATTTTCTTTAAATAATAATTTTAGAATGAGAATTTTAATAATACAAATTGACTCAAAAAATAGACAAAGAAGAATTTAATTTACTCTTGATAATTGTCTAATTTCTAGCCAATATTCGAAGTAACCATGTATATTTACAAAAAATAATTTATTTTTATACATGTACGTCTACATCCTACTATAAACAGTCTCTTCTTGAATCTCTCAAATGGTAGACACAAGTTTTATAGATGACTAGCGGAACTGCAAAAAAACTCTAAGAAGATAGGTTTCATACAAACTTTGATCCCCTATTTTATCCTCTTAGGGGTTGAATTTTAGAAAACGCTAAAATTCATAATTCATTATTTTTGCCGTACTCAATTCATACGAAATTTCATGCAAATATTATGTCCAAGGAATAAAAAGTTTCATACAAACTTTTATCCCCTATTTCACCCCTTGGGGATTAAATTTTGAAAAATCCTTCCTTAGTGGATTACTTAGTTATATGAGGAATACGTGTGCGACATTTCATTTTTTTTGCCTTAAGGGTTTAGCCTGTGCGTCGATACGTCAGTCAATCACTTTCGCCTTTTATATATATACACTCATATGTCGCCATACTATTAAACCGACGAGGCAGCCAAGGAATGCTTATTTTATTTCAGACTAGCAACTCACCCTCGCTTCGCTCAGGTTCGTCCCTAGTTACGATTTAATGGTTAGCGTGGAATAGATATAACTTGTTTTCCCGTAGGAACAAGATAATCTCCCACAGTAAAAAGTAGCCTATGTCACTCTCCAGCTATCTAACTATCTTTACACATAAAAACACGACAATCTGACACTTTATTTCGACGTGAAAGAAGGACAAACAAACAAAGAAATAAAGTCAACGTCAAATTGTATATCATAGAAAGAGAAAGTGTCAAATCCACAAATGCATTCAATTAGGTTATGTTAATTTTAAGGTTGCGTTCATAATTTAATGTAGTAGTAAGGATTTTTTACATTTTTGCTTGATTTTTTTCTAATTTTTCTCTTCATAAGAACCTTCCCCGCACTTCAGCGAATATTTGCAAAAAAATAATAAATAGGCTAATAAGTCCAGCCGTTATCAAGTTTTGAGCCTGGCAACATTTTGCCATTTATTTTTATTTATATAGAAGATATAGACGAGAGTTTTTATATTCCTATTAAAGTTGTATGTTTGACTTTGTATTTAGACTCTTACATATACCCACCATATTTTATAAAATATATTATGAATATTTTATTTTGCATTTCATTCTACACTGTGCCTAACAAAAAGCAAAAAACTATCTTACTTTTTGAACATATATTTATACTAAAACATCGATATTATCTATAACACATATCGACCTGTTTCATTGTCTAACTGGTCTTTGATGAGAGTTCAAATATGTCGAATTTGACAGCTTATAGTTACTATTTGTAAATAAACGTATTTTAAATTATAAAACTATTGAAATATGCTACAAACAACTGAAAATATGAAATTGTATTAGTTTTTCTATAGTGATTTACCTCCATCAGGCAACAAATCAAAGAGTAACGGTCAAAATTCATGTTATATAATGGCAATTTATTTTACGAAATTTATACATCAAAATTCGTTGGACCAAAGAACTCATTTTATAACGTATAGTAGTATAGTGCATTTATCAGTATCTCAATAGTGGCAAAGAAAACTAAAATTTAATATTCATACGCTTACGGCACAAGTCCACTAGTTTAAAGATTTTAAATTACACAAAAACAATAGCGAATCGCGCGAACTTCACTTGAAATTTAAACGATTTTTGACGCGTTTATTTTTAACGTTACCGGTATTTACTTAAAATTTTATTTTTTTTATATACTTCATAAAACTTTCAAAGTTTGCGTGTATCAGGCATTTAGCGGGGTTCAAGTGGTTAAGATTGATTGATTGAAATAAAGGCTTTTATTTATGAACGTTAGTTGTCAATGTCAAAACTTTAAATTGTCATAAAATATTTATCAATGTCAAATAGATAGAGGATTGCATTGTTTACCAATATACTTAAAAATTAAGAGAAACTCGGAATAACATAAAGAATGTCGGATTCTGAAAAACTGAAACAAAACTGGCAAATGTAAGTATAAAAAATAGGTAGGTAATAAGGTTGTCATACAGATCTAATCATCTATTTAACATTTTATCATACTTCATTTCTATTTTAACAAAAGCATTTTTTCTTATACAGTTAATAATCGAACTGCTATTATAAATGCGGAAGTTTCTGTGTATGTATATTTTTACTCCTTCATGTTTGTGTGTATATTTGTTAGCCGTTAACGTTAAAACGTCTGGACGGATTTGAATGAAATTTAGTACACTGAAAAACTTTAACATGGAAAACATAGGCACTTGGACGTAAGTGAGGGTAAGACGGTAGTGTAATATAATATTACAAAATATATATTATATTCAGAACCGAATTAACCATCGGGTCCCTTCACCCTTCTTTAAGTTATTGAAATTCATTTTTTCTACCACAATGCAATTATATTCGTAAATGATGATGTTCTCCTGACCAATTCCGGCCACAGTGGCCAATCTCATTGAGACCAACTGCGCAGGAGTTAGTGTACAAGTGTACGTGCAGACATAGGCGCACTCTCTATTCCTGTCACTCTCATTCTCAGGTGGTTCGTAAATATTACGCTATTAGGTATAGATTTTATAAACATCTAACTGGTGCATTTGTCCTCATGGTGGGATTTCACCTAATTTTTTATTTTTCCAAATAAAATTTTCACTCTATGAAACATTTTCAATTTTTTTTCTCGGTGTGTGGGGCCCATAGGCAGTTGCTTAAACTGCCTTATAGATAACCCGTCCCTGATCATATTGACTTACTTTTAGTACAATTTACTTCAATTATATGTAACCAGCAGTGATAAAAACAAGTCCTAAAATTTCAATATATAAAGTTCCGAAATACTTAACTCAAATGTTAAAGCAATTTTGTTTAAAAAAGAAACAGCAATTTAAAAACACTTCTAATATATTGCAGGTCAGCAAAAAAGAAGAGATATAGACGCAAGAAGAAAAATGCTAACCTGAATCCAAATCATATTAGACCACCATTACTTACAAACCCGAATCCAGCAGCAACTTTAGAGGGATTAAAAACTATTGCAAATCTAATACAAAAAATTAATCAACAGTCATTAAATCAAATTAGACCAGGACAAGATCCAAAGCCGCTAGTTTCAGGTCCCCGCCTCAGCAGACCAAATAGATTTCCTACACCAAATTTAACTTGGACAAGATCTCAAGTGAGCACTGAACCAACTGCAACTCAAAATAAACCTTCTGAAGATATAGATGGGCAAAAGATAGAGACAGAAAACTCACAAAAACAAGTTGAAAATTCACAAAGTAAAGATCAATTACCTGAAGAAAGTACTGCAAAAGATGGTTCTAATATACCAAAGCCAAGTATTCAAAAAGAAGCATTTAATACAACTACTCAAAAGTCTCTTTCTAAAAAGGATGTCATGAAACAGAATATTCATATGAGACAAACAAATTCACAGTTTGATGATTTTGAAATATATAGCAGTCCATCGTTTATTAATTTTGATGATTCCGATGAGGTGGTTGAGCTAAATGACGATAATCTTTTTAATATTCAACCAAATAGTGATAAAACAAGTGGTAGCAAAAAGTAAGTATGTATTTGATTGTGCATATTGTGATTTAATTCATATCATAAATGAAGTGTAGCAAAATATATACATAGATTTAAGTCATAAAAGGATTTATTCCTGAAGTTTATATATTCATGAGGATTCATTAAATAAAAACATAAAGTTTGTTAATATATGTATATTGTAATTTATGATGTTAAAAAAACATATAAGATAAATAAATATAAATTTTAAAATATGATTATAAAGAAAGAATTTTAAATATGTTCAAAATTTATCTAAAATTTATATAAAATTTGTAAAGTATTTATATAATAATCTATACTTTACTAATATTATAAAGTGGCAGAGTTTGTTTGTTTGTTTGAACGCTAATCTCAGGAATTACTTATCCCATTTGAAAAATTCTTTTTGCATTAGATAGCCTGTTTTAGACAAAGGCTATAATAGGCTATATATCATCCCAGAAAAATGTATGTTTCCCGTGAAATAGATTTGTATTCACTTATTAACGAATCCAAAGCGAAGCGAGGGTGAATTGCTAGTTATTTATATAAATAAAAACACTTTATTCATTAACAAAATGTTTATAAACTACAAACAAGATTGAAATTTATATTACAGAAACCTGATTAATCCAAACACACAAATGAACTTTCAAAAGAAGCTACAACAGCAATATGCTAAGAAAATGGAATCAAAAATTCAGGAAAACGCATCCACAAATGAACCTAAAATTGAACCAGGTATAAAATAAATGTTATAGTGTTGAAAGGAACACCCGCAACTAACAACATTATAACTCAGTATTGTGATAATTAAAAAAAGCTCTTCATATATTATTTAAATTACAGATTCAAAATTACTCCATAACAGCTACATTATTTTTCCTTGCAGTAGTCTTTAAAATCTTATATTTTTTATATTGTGTAGGTTTAAATTATTATTATCAGCAATTGTTTTGTACACAGTACACTTATATATATATATATATATATATATATATATATATATATATATATAAATATGAATCCCTATTTCCCTTGTTCACACCATAACTTGAGAATGACTTTACCTTTTTTCATTCATTTTTTTTTTTTAAGTTTTCTAATACTTTGTAATGAAGGTTCTTATGGAAAGAAAATTGCCCAGAAAATTGAAAAATTTATCTCATTCCCACGGGACACACGTTTTAATACAACCCACAACAACTCATTATACCTATGTATATATGTCATATATAATTATATGTAACTTATATAGTCTACCTATACCATAGTAACCGTTAAAATATACTTAGGGATGAACCTGAGTGAAGCGAGGGTAAGTCTATTTTTTTTTTATAGATTGAGATATTATTAGATTGAGCATTAAGAGAATTAAAATTGAGCTTTGTATTTCATTTAAAGAAAGATGTTACTATAATACAAAAGCTTTATAAAGTAATATTATCATAATATCTCTTCATAGGTTATATTGCACACCAACTTCTGGATAATACATTTCCAAGATGTCTTAAAAATGCCATACTAGATCTAGGATTATAATTCTACCTTTAATAATGAGATTTGATCCTAATGAGGATCAACTTCACATAACAGCAATCTCTTAGAAAATTTGCTTATTGCCAAAATAAAGGACTGATCGCGAATTGTGCAACGGAAAGAAAAATAAAAAAATAACTCATATCTACTTTATTGACCTCTTGTCTCTTACTGGAGAGACTAAAATTACTACTTGTATGGACAAGTTGAAGATATAATTTTTGATCAATTTAATTTGATGGAACAAGTGTTAAGCATATAGAAATAACGTAAATTATTTGGATTCTTAGTTTAATTAAAAACTAGTTTAGTAGATCTACGAACTACGTTAGTAGTTCTACAACAGTAGACCTCACGAGCACAAATTACATTTTCAGGAGCTATCCTGCTCATGAAGATCCTCATCAGATTTTCACCAAATTTTTATGAGACCAACATAATTACTATCTTTCAAATAAAGTAAAAAACTGAGATATCCAGCAGCCCCCCTTGCCTCTTTTTAGAGGAAGTACTCCTCCAATCAAAAATCCCCGATGACAAAAAAAGTCTATAAAATGGTCAAACTTGTATGTACCAACTAACTGACAGAGTAAGGCAAATTTTGCCAGACTTGGAGCAAAGACCCTCGCTCGGTCAATCCTCTTCAACAAGATATACAATATATTTTTCGTTTGTTTTTAGAAATTACAAAAAAATCAAATCAAGAGCTTATCGAAGGGGTCTCCGCAGACATAAAAACAGTTGTTAAGGACAATATAAGTAATGCATATAAATGGACAAAGCCAAGAAGAACTGGGCAGTTAGATGAAGGTAGATATTTTTTTAATTTTACCATTATTATTCTAGTGACACTGCATTATGATATTTTACTTTACCATATAAGTAATTAAAAAATAATAAAAAAAATATTGACTTAAGTAAATGAAAATGTCATGATAATTGGTACATATTGGTATTTGTGTTAAGAGATGAATTTCGTGTGAATCCATTTACATGAAGTCAGGGTAGAGAGAGATTCAAACCCAAGACCTCCGAGACCTGCAGCCCTTCATGCTAGCCACTAGGCCAACGAAGCAGTTATTATATATAAAAAGATTTTAAACCATCTCAAATGTAAGACTTTTTTAGATAACAAAAAAGAAGAAAGATAAATGACAATTATTTTTATTTTTACTCGAATACAAATATTGGAATGTTTTCGATTTGGTTTTTTTTTCAATATAAATTACGATCTAACAACGAATTATTTTAAAAAATAAACTACTTTTATGAAAAATTGTATTGCGGTAGACTCCGAGTATTGTTAGTTTGTTCTAATTGTCTTTTTGATGTAATTCCAAAAGTAAATGCATATTTTTTATCATACTTTTATTTTGTATTATTTATTTCAGTTATAGAACGGGAACGAATACCGAGAGGTATATATGTATTTTTTTTATTATTTTTTTCTCGCTTGATTTTTTTAATTATAAATATTTTAATTAAAACGGTGAATACTTTTTAATAATAATAATAAGTACTACGACAATAAATTCAAACTTCACCTTTGAACGAAAACCGATTTAAACGACCTTTAACATTTTGTTAATTTTTTTAAATTTTTAATTATATATTTTTTCTTCAAATTATTTTTTTTTCAAATTTTTATTTAAAATGAATTCTTTTCATAAGAATGAAATATTATTTTTTTAGCCGGTTTTATTTTTATGATATATTATGACGAATAGTTAATATTAACTTTTTATTTTTGAGTAAGTTTATTTTGCTAGCGTTAGAAACTTTTTTAAGTGGTTTGTTTTTTTCAGGTATACCAAGATCATTTTTGCTACAACAAAACAATGTTGGTGCCATAAAACCTCAAAGTAGTATGTTCTCGTTTTTTATGTTAATAATACATTTAAAATGTTTGTATGTAATACTTTCTTAGATGTAGGCCAATATGACATTTCTTTTATTTTTATTTTTTCTCCGTTGTTTTTTTTTTAATTTTTGTTTATGACGTTTTGACTTTTTTTTTAAATTGTAACGTACATTTTTCTTTCTTCTTCCAAATTGTTGCATAATTTTGTGGGTAGACATCATTCAACTATTAGGTTTTGAGATCTTAGTATTTCCTGTGCTTATTTTTTCTCTAAAGCTTTCGAAAGGTCCAGGAGGAAAAATCAAAATATAACCAGGACGAAATCCGTAAAAATATTTAAATAATACTTTCTCAGATTTGACATTTTAAATAAAAAAGCGCTCGAAACGTCGGGAACCAAAAATACGCGAAAAAATCCAAAAAGATAGTTTTATTTATTTTAAATGTCTGTACATAGTTGAAATACAAATAATTTAAGCGTTTAATTATACAGAGCCCAATTACTCTGCTAAAACCTTCTGTTGAATGTTTAAATAGCAAAAATTTTGAGTCCGAAACTCCAAATTATAGTTCACACAAAATACACAGAATTAATGAACAAAAAAATGAACTTTTAATAAATCACGCCATATTAGATAGATCTAACTGATGTGATTATAATTTCTTTTTTCGTTATTTTTTTCAGATTCCCAAGGTAATGCCAGTTCCTCACATGAGCTAACCAATCAGCCCAATCTGGTATCACCAGAGCCAAAGCTTCAGACGTCTGTTCAGACAAATGTAGAAACAGTTCAACCTCAAGCCTACTCTCCTACGGACATTTATGAAGAGATACAGGATAATGAAGGTATGTTTATAATCTACTAGCTTGATTCCCAATACAAACTTTCATCCCCATTTTCACCCCCTTAAGATATGATTTCCGGGATAAAAATCCTATGTCCTTCCCAGGGTCTCAAACTATCTTCATACCAAATTTCATCTAAATCGGTTCAGTCAAAGTCGCCTACAACGTCACAAACTCACAAGCTCACAAACTTTACCTCTTTATAATATTAGTATAGATATTGAGAAATAAAAATTATAAATATTACTGGCATTACATAATTTTATATGCCTAAATCTAAATTAGATGTGCTGATCATCGCACCTTTGGTCCTTCCGCGATAAACAATAGCATTCCCAAAGAGGTTTGATGTCAGGTCGGTTATAAAACTTTTGACAACAGACGGACAAGGGAGTGAGTGATCTTATAGGGTACCTTTTTTTCCTGTTGAGGTAAGGAACCCTAAAAATAAAAAATAAATAAAAAAAGCAAATAAATCATAATGGAAATAAATAAATATATATACCATCATTGCCCGCGGCACCGCCTGCGTGCAGATGACCAAAGGCCAAATTCTTAAGTTTTATATATTAGTATGCTCTTAAATTGCATTTTTTTTATTGTTTTTCAGAAATGAGATATTTTCCCGCGGTAAAAAATATCCTATATGTTGACTCGGATAACCAGCTATCACCATACCAAATTTCATCAAAATCCCTCCAGTAGTTTTCTGTGATGCGGTAACAGACAAACAGACAGACAAAAATTCTAAAAACTATAGATTCGGCCTCTGTATCGATAATAATGTTTACTTCAATAAGATTTTCCAAAAAATATTTAATGTACAGATTCGACTTAGTTACAATTTTATTATAAGTATATATATATTTTTAAAAGAAATCAGAATATAAATAATTTTAGAAGTGCGCGAAGGTACAGAATCGCCCGATGCCTTGGAACCTGGTCAGAAGCGTGTCAGTGCTTTCCAGCGACTGGGGCCGTTGGCTCAGACCAAGAAACCGAAACTCACTATCAATTTATCTTTGAACAAAGATGAATCTGTAAGGTAAGTTTTGTTGTGAACGTTTTTAAATAACTAATGACTATATAATTTTATTTGAAATAGTAATAGGCTGTTAGGTAAGCTTGTGGGTTTTTTTTAATTTTTTGACTTGAATTTTAAAGGAGTGAATTTATTTGATAAGTTATTGTAAGCGATTTTAGACCTATCAGCTCTTTTCTAGACGGTAAAAGAATATGAGCAGGTTCCTCAGATTTAAGCGATATAAGATATTATTATTAGATTACGAGTATATTAATGACATGCAATGTGATATGATAACCTAGGTCGGAGGCTGCAGTCACCTGAATACTCCAAGATACTTTACTAAAAGGCAGTGGTACCCCAGTGGTAACGCGCTCGCTTGGGAAACCGAGTGAAGCGGGTTCAAATCCCGGGTCTCGCACCTCTGATATTTTCCCGTGCGAATCATTCCTAACACGATTACCACTTGCCTTACGGTGAAGGAAAATATCGTGAGGAAACCTGCAAAGATATATACCTATATAACCTAAAAAGTTTTCGAAAGATATGTGAAGTCCCCGCACTTGGCCAGCGTGGTGGACTATGGCCTGATCCCCCTCGTATTGAAGAGAGGCCCGTGCCCAGCAGTGGGACGTTACAAAGGGCGGAATACATACATACATACTTTACTAAAACACTGCTAATATATCATGTTTAAGCTCATTAAAATGACCTCAACGAATACGTTATTAAACTATGACTGTTTATCTTTTTTAACAGGGAAGTAGTAGATGAAACAAATATTAACATTCCAGTTCATGAGAGAGAGTACATAATCAATAGTACCAATGAGATTGTTGTAAAATATCTCCCATACTGGCCTTGGAAGAAACATTTGTCGATAAGAAAAAGAGTGACCGCTCGAAGTTCTAAGGTGAGTTAGAGTTTGAATTCATTTTGTGAGTTTTTTGTTATTTTAGCTACATATTAAACTAGTGATTCACCCTAGTTATGTTTCGAGTTCGCCCCTAAACAAAAAAATCTATCCCGTACATTTGTCCGGGATAAAAAGTAACCTATGTGTTATTCCGGACTATAATCTATCTTGGTGCTAAATTTCATTCAAATCCGTTCAGCCGTTCTGGTATGAAAGAGTAACAAACGCCCATCCATTCATCCTCACAAACTTTCACATATTATATACACATATACTAGGTTGATTACTCATACAAACTTTCATCGCCATTTTCACCCCCGTGAGGAATAATTTCCGAAGTAAAAAATATCTTATGTCTTTTCCAGGGTCTCAAACTATCTTTTTACCAAATTGCGTGTAAATCGGTTCAGTAGTTTTTGAATTTATTCGTTACAAACATACTAATCTTTTCTCTTTATAATAGTAGTGTAGAAGTATGGATCGAATGTATAAATATGTATAGCTATTTGTAAATCATTATTTTAATTGAAAAAAATAATTTGTGAAATTGTTGCTGCCAACACGAAAAGGTGTTAATATCATTAAATTCAAAAATCCTGATTATTATATTATAACAATTTTTAAGGGATGTCGATTTCGGTGTAACTTTTTAGCTAATACAATATTCACTTAAATGAATAATTGATTTCTTTGACTTTGTTATATTTTGCAGACTGTGATGATGATGGAAAAAGAACAAATGGAAGAAATATACGAGAAAGACAATTTATTTATTATGATATCGGTATGTATTAATTTAAATAAAATGTCTTGGTGACCGTATTCGGTCACGGCCATCTTATTGAGGCTGGAGTGTTGTTAACTGGAACTATCATTGAGTGAACCAAACATGGACCTCTGCTATCAAATCTAAATATACTTTATTCAAATAGATTTTTACAAGCACTTTTGAATTGTCAAATTTATATTTTTTTAAATTAAATGTCAGTATGTAAGGTTAAGGAATCTAGCACCGGCTTGGAAGGCAGTTCTGCTGAGAATAGCCGTAGAGAAACTCAACAGTTGCTCTTTTTAAATATAATAATAATTTACAATGTATCGATACAATAATTATGTTCTCATCTCTTGTGAGTTTCGACTAATAGTAATCCCATATACCTATTTGCATCAGCAAAATATTCCGCGAATAATAAAAATAAAATCTTTATGCCCTGAATCAACATACGGGCTATATTTTATCAACGTATTTTCATCGTGTGTGGGTAATAGTGTAGTAAAAATACTTTTTTAATTTTCAGGTAACTGGATACCCGACATCTTGGACTAAAGAAGATGTATTGGACGTGATAATGGAGTATTTGAAAGGAAAATCTTTTATACCGTGTTTTATAGAGGTATTGTTATTATTTTGTATTTATTTACAAACTTTTATCAATAACATATTATATTTTTTTATACAGAAAGATAAAGCTTAAACCGTATCTTAAATATCTGATCATGTGGATTAATGGTGAACACGCATACAAACACACACATTAGCATTTCTTCATTACTACTATAAAAAGGAAAGATTTGTATGTTTGTAACGAATAAACTCAAAAACTTTGGGACCGTTTTAGATGAAATTTGGTAAGAAGATAGTTTGAGACCCTGGGAAAGACATAGTTTACTTTTTATTCCGGAAATCAGCCCTTAAGGGGGTGAAAATGGGGATGAAAGTTTGTATGGGGAATCAAGCTAGTATATGTGTATATAATATGTAATATAAATAGGGACGAACCCGAGCGAAGCGAGGGTGAGTCCCTAGTATATAATATACCTACTAAGAAAATATAAAAACTTGAAATTCCGATCACCTCAACACAAATCCGGCTCGCACTTAACCAAACCTCTATCAACAGTTCACAACAAAGGAGTGTAAGTTCTTCGTATTACGTTCCCGTAGCGCTTTACTAGCCATACATTGGTGCGGATTCTGTATACGGAAAGATGATATAGAGCTGTATCTAACAATATCGTATACAGCTTTCACGGTGAAACACGTCGATTTTATCCCGAGACTTGTCTTGAGAAAATTGCTTAGTCTGCGATATGATGAAGGGAAACTGGATTTGAGCGAGTTTACTCTGAAGAAAGGTGGGTGTTTTGTTTTATATAAATATTCTTACTTAAGTAGTGTAATTACCTCCCTTAGAATAAGTATTATATGGACGAATCCGTCTTAATGTTGGGATATTAAAACAGAGTTCCAAGGAAAGCTACGAGGCTTGTGTTATGGATACAAGATAGTTGAGACACTACACATAATATATAACTTTTAAATGCATATATATAAATATAAACACTAATGACTATAGAACAAACATTCGTACTCATCAAACAAATAAATGCCCCCAGCGGGACTCGAACCCACGACAAGTACACGTAAGACAAGTGATTATCTTGGAAATAATTATATAATCCTACATACTTAAATTAGAAAATAATACCATAAGCGTAAAATAATTTATTTAAAACGACTCGTAAGTTGCTGTACCTATTTTAGTAAAAAAAATTAGTTATTAATTATTATTACAGATATCAGCCACTTCATATACTACCCACTACACAGTGTGTTCAATCAGGCCGAGCTGTTGGAGATTCAAAGTAACATTGCATGGGACCAAATTACTGAGCTTGATCTATCTAATAATAAAATAACGTGAGTTTATACTTTATAATACCTTCTGTTTGTACGTTTCGATTTATATTGTTACCTTTATTCTCCTTCGTGTAAGCAAGAAAGTGTCGTGTAAAGATTTAGTATACTTAAATTGTTATTTGTATACTATTTTAAAATATTATGTATGTACTACTAAGAAAACAATAACAAATCTATCCCACGGGAACCGTACATTTTTCCGGAATAAAAAGTAGTCTATGGACTATGTTATGTTATTCCAGACTATAGTCTGTGCCAAATTTCATCCAGATTTAAAGTGTAACAAACATCCATACTCACAAACTTTCACATTTATAATATTAGTAAGAAGTAAGATTAGTTTTAATATATAATACTAGCAGAACCCACGGCTTCGCTCGCGCTAAAACTATTAAGAATTCTCTAAAAAGGTATTTTCATACAAACTTTCATCCCCTATGTTACCCCTTAATAGGATAAATTTTGAAAAATGCTATGACACGTATTTATTTAATTTTATTGAAGAGTACATATACCAAGTTTCTAGTACTTCTGATAATGAATATTTTTTGGATTATATTATATCGTATTTTCCCGTGGGAATTAAGTAATCTCCCACGATAAAAAGTAGCCTATGTCACTCTGCAGCTCTCCAACTTTCTACGCACTAAAAATCACGCCAATCCGTTACTCCGTTTCGACGTGAAAGAAGGACAAACAAACAAACACTTGCACATTTATAATATTAGTATGGATATTAATAAATTAGTAATATTTTAAAACATTAATTATTGTTTGGCTTCATGTTTAGTTCTATGACACTCTGGCTCTCTGAGTAATAAGAGTAAAACAGTATCGTATATTTTCATGTAAAACTGCAAAACTCATTTATGTTTTGAAGTGTAACTTCTTTACAATCGTTGTGATTTGAAACTCGATGAAACAGAAATGCGACACTGGAAAGAGACAAACATATAAATATATAGGATTAAGCCGGCGAGAGAATGAGATAGAATACATTGCCATGTTGCCATGGCAACCGTCGGTATTGTCTGGCAAATTTATAATATGAAGTTTCACTTCTACCGTGTGTAAATTATATTTTCAAATGACTCTTTTTTCAGATCACTGGAAAATTTCAATCTAAACGAAACGGTGCCTAAATTAAGAGTGTTGAATTTATCAAACAATTGCTTAGACAGTGTACTCCTACTGATGTCAAACAGATATCTGCCGGTACAAAAATTATATCTACAGGGGAATCCCCTTTGTTTGGATTACATAGATTCAGATCATTACATGAAAGTTGTTAAGAAAATGTTTTCCACTTTGAAGGAACTGGTGAGTAAAATTAGCAAAATTTTTATATTCAACTAGCGACTCATTCTCGCTTCGCTCGGGCTCGGCCTCGTTTTAATTTTTTTGAGCTAAACCCTAATTTTTTTTCTAAAATAAAAGTAGGAGTAACATATACTCCCTATGACATCAGCTATCTTCCAGTGAAAGTCCTGTCAAAATCAGCCGTTTCAGAGATTATCCGGAACAAACAGATAGACAGACAATTTTTTTTAAATTGTTTTTCTTATAAGTACCGTATATGATTTCATACGCATTTTGTTAAACGCTTTTATTTTGACATTACAAACAGACACTTCAATTTTATTTATCTATATAGATGTATAGACTAGCGTTTTACCCTCGCTCCGCTCGGGTTTGTCCCTAGGTACTTTTCAAGTATTTAAGTATTTGTACGGTTAGTATAGATTTTTCAGGGATGAGATATTTTCCCGATGTAAAAAGTATCCTATATGTTGACCCGGATAACCAGCTATCATATCAAATTTCATCAAAATCTGTCTAGTGGTTTTCTCGTGATACGTTACCAGACAGACAGACAAAAAATCTAAAAACTATGTATGTATAATATCTTACTATATATTAAGTATGTAAGATTATTCTGACATGTTTATGATCTTACTAATATTATAAATGTGAAAGTTTAGATATTTGGATGTTTGTTATTCAATCACGCCAGAACGGCTGAACGGATCTGGATAAAATAGAAAAGCACGCCTATGTGCTTTTTATCTCGGAAAAATGTTCGGTTCCCGTGGGATAAATTGTTTTTTTTTCTTGGGCTAGTTTTATAATAAAAAGAAGTGCAGCCTTTATATTCTTTTTATATTTTTTACAAAAGGATGGAGTGCCAATACCCCTTAAAGGCGAATTTCCCAGTTTCAAAAGAAATTACTGTTTGGAAGATGCTCATGGAATAACGTCGAAGTTTCTAGAAGTTTTCTTCCCATTGTTAGAATGTGAAGCCGATGATAGGGAAGTGAAAGAAATGTACCATAAAAATGCCGTCATGACCATCACTGGAAAAAATAATTTCCGTAAATATATGTTTTCTTTTTAATTTTCACTATATATTTAATAGAGGTAGGCCAATATCTAAGGCACTGCTTATATTTATACATATAATAAAACTTGTAACTGAGCCGAATCTGTACATTAAATATGTTTTGGAAAATCTTATTGAAATAGTCATTATTATCGATGCAGGGCCGAATATATAGTTTTTAGATTTTTTGTTGATCTGTCTGTATGTCTGGGAGACACGAGAAAACTACTGGACAGATTTTGATGAAATTTGCTATGGTGATAGCTGGTTATCCGGGTCAACATATATATTATGATATATTTTACGGCGAGAAAATATCTTATTTTATCTCTGACTTGAGACATCTTTACTAAATGTTAAAACCTAAAATGATAGTATTAAATAGAACTATCTTTTCGGATCATTTCGCGGAAAATAGAAAAAAGACAAAAGGCATCAAAACACCGTGAAATTTATAAATAATAATAAATTTAAAATCTAATGAGTGTTGCCACTTGCCATATTTTAACAATTTTCAAATAATTTGGGTTGCTATTCTTATAATCTATTTACAATTTAAACATTTTATATTTTAACATATTGAGCTATTATCGATGCATATATGTATAAACGCATGTATTGATGTTATATAAACGAATTGAGCACTTTTTAACTTGTTAAAATATTTTTAAATAGATTTTAAATATAATTTGTTCACAGGTTACAACACAAATAAATACACTCGAAATCTCCTAATAAAGAGTCAAACGATTCTCGAAGGAAATTTTGATAGAGTCGAGGGAGCGGCTAATATAGAAAAATTAGTTAGAAAATGGCCGAATTTTCTACACGACCCAACCACCTTTACAGTTGATGTTATGTTTCATAATGTAAGTTATTATAATCATTTAAAACGTATTGTGCACATACATACATACAACATATAATATATTAATAGTTTAAACCAGCAATTTTTGGACACTTTTGTCGGTTTATTTTTTTTAAGTTTTTCAATAAAAGTTCTTAAATGTCTTCATATATCAATAACACATTGGTTTTACATACAATTTACATGTATTCTAATTAATATTATCAAGAACGTAAAATTGGATGTACGAAGTAATCTCCGAAACTTTTTATTTCACTTTTTTACACTAATAAATTTAAAGTAAAAACAGACTGTATAAAATAATTTGTTAATATAAAAGGGCTTTTCAAGGATACTAAAGAAATAACTATAAATATGTTTGGACATTAACACACAGCACCATCTAGTTAAATGGTACGAGTTTGTGTTATGGATACCAGATAGTTGATACACTACACATATACATACATATTATAAGTATAAACCCATGAATAGAGTACAAACATTCGTGGTAATCACACAAAAGAATGCCCCCAGCGGGACTCTAACCCGCCACCACTAAGCCAAAGCCAGCAAAAAAAAACAACGAATTGCACGCAAAGGACATATATTTTGAAACTTATTTAAATATTTTGATTATGTTAATTTCCACAGGACACATCGACATTCATTAAAATAACAGGTATATTAAAAATAACAACTGACACGTTAGCAGACGACGAGCCTCTAGTAGCATTTTCTAGAACCATCCATTTGAAAACTAAAAATGGCTGCGAATACAAAATATACAATGAAATGATATATTGGGATGAACCGTCGAAGGAATATGCTAATTCGGCATTTAAAATTTTAGCGGTGAGATATATTTTTTTATATATATACTATTAAAATTAAATATGAGAGACTTGTCAAAACCAGACCTCGGAAACCTGTTCGATTTTGTAACTGGTTTTGGTCAATGAACCCAAACCGAAACCGCTTTTCAATGTAACGGTAAATTGCTTAGTACTAGGATACATGTAGGTTTCTGGAATTAACCGGTTTATTTATTTATTTATCTATACTGATATTAAAAAGAGGTAAAGTTTGTAAGTTTGAGACCTTGTAGGGGCTAATCTCTGGATCTACTGAACCGATTTAGATAAAATTTGGTAAAAAGATACTTTGAGACCCTGGAAAGAAGATAGGATAGTTTTATCCCAGAAATCATTCCTTGAGAGGGTGGAAATAGGGATGAGAGTTTGTACGGGGAGTCGCTAGTTTTAAATAAACCGGTTGATGAACGAGCGTTGAATTTATTATTATAAATAAATAAATATATTCTGTCTCCATCATCAGCTCGATGGTATCAAATAGGACATTTTGATACGACAGTTTAAAATAGGTCACAATTTGATTACATATTTATAGTAGTGTTAAAAATGTAACGCCCTGTAGAGTATGTTTGTCAGTATGTCTGTCATATTCATTGTCTATTATCACCAAAACTAGAAAAAAGCGAGTTTGGGAACCTATATACATATTATAGGGAGTTAGATGAGCTAATCGCGAAATCTATACAGCTAAATAAAATTGAAGTGTCTGTAATGTCAAAATAACAGCTTTTTACTAAACGCTTATGAAATTTTATACGGCACTTATAAGAAAAAACATATTTTTTAAATTTTTGTCTGTCTGTTTGTTCCGACTAATCTCCGAAACGGTTGGACTGATTTTGACGGGACTTACACTGGCAGATAGCTGATGTTATAAGGAGACGTAGGCTACTTTTATTGTAGAAAAAGAATTATTTAAAATTAAAACTTGCCTAGGGATAACCCTATCGAAGTGAGGACAAGTTGCAAGTAAATAAATAATTTTAATTTACCAGATCTAAATAAAAAAATAACATTAAAAAAAATATGAAGAGTATATTTTATTCATTCGAATTCCCTTACTCTTTTTTCTTATATATGACTTTTGCTATATCCGTCTTTATGCTCTCCTAGTATCGTATGATCTGAGTATCTGCCTCTATAGTGGAGATCGCGGGTTTGAGTCCCATTCAAGGGATTCAAGGGAAGGAATTCTTAGAAACTCACAGCATATGTTTAGTCAGAATAGCTATTTAAATATGATTTAATTATCGAAAGCTTCATTTCCTTTTTTTATTTTTCTCACTTTTATAAAAGTTGGAGTGCCTAATATTCTTGATATGGAATTATTCTATTAATTTATAACTAAATGTAGTAGAGGATATTTAATACTTTTTTCATATACTTTGATATTTCATTGTATAATATATGTATATTATTTAATGTTATTAAAAATATCTTACTTTGTTAATCTATAGCTACATACATATATATTTTTTTTAAGTGTCTGCCTGTGATTTCAAAATAACTATGTTAACTATGTTATTATATATACCATTACCAAAATTTAATTTTTTTGTCTGTCATTCTGTTTTTTCGGGGTAATCTTTGGAAGGAATTAACCGATTGTAATGGGAGTTTGACCGAAAGATAGAGGAGTCTGTAAGTCTTCCTAGGGGGTTTCAGGGCGAAAATAGAAATCCTTTAAAAACTACCTAAATTTCGAATTTCCTATTTCACGAAAAGGTCTGCCATAGAATTTTTGTATCTCCTAAGGTACGCATCATTATAATAACTATTTTTATCTATTGAAAACGTACTCAAAGACAAGCGGTAAGTTTCCAGTTAAATAAATAACAGAAACTCTTATCGGCATATATTAAATTACTATTTTTACTAAATAATATTTATATTATTAGGTACATGAATATAATTGCAATTTACAAAATGGTTTTAAATCTGTTATTTTCACCCTAACTTTTATTGTTTATCCTATATTTTTTTGGGTTAAAAACTGAAGGACTGCCGTGCTACTAATGTGTACTAGCTATCATTGTGCATAGGATTCATCCACGAAAAAAAAAAATGATAGTTAAATGAATCAAGAGTCAATGATATGAGTAACACAATCAAAGACAATTTAATACTATTTAGTTAATACTTAAAAAGTAAATTTAAAAAAAATTAAATTATTTACTAAATCATTTAAGAATAAAAAAGTTATTGGATATATATGCATTAATTAATTTGTTATGCTGTTAATGAATTAAAAATCCAAATATAAGCTTTAGACTTCTTTGTACTAATCTCATACAGAAAGCAGGTTGAATTTTATGGTGTTTAGAGGAAATAATTAATAGAAATTACTTTTTAAGCATTTTTTATAGAAAATTAATTTGAAGAAAAGAAAGAAAAACTATTATAGTAAAAATATTTTTTATTCATTACTGAATTTAAAATGTGCCGACATTTGGTTAATGAGATTTCTACCCAAAAGTATCACTCATATCACAAAAATATGTCGAATATTTAAGGCTTATTACATGCGATTATTATAGTTTAACATCAGATTCAAAATTCGCTAAACATATATTGATACTTAAATATTTACATACATACTTTACGATACTTCCATAATGAAAAAAAATATCTATATTAATTTGAACTGAAAGGCAATAAAAATGGAAGTGACTTGGCACTATACATTACACAATATAGGACGTGAATCACGTGATACTAATCTAACATACACCAAGTAGACATTACACGGTATCCATTGATTCTTCATTTGTTAGTTCAGTCTCCATTTCCATCTCCTTCTCATCCCCACCAGCATATTTTAATCTTAGCTTCTGGTAATGCAGACTTTCTTTAAGCGACACTGAAGGCTTACACTTGGAAAGTGCTGCCCTAAAGTCTTCAAAGGACACAAAAATGTCTCCCTCTAAAGTATTATTTGCGATGTGGTTTGTTAAGGAATTGGTAGCGGCAGCCCGAACTAGGCCAGACAAGTCTGCACCAGTATATCCTTCTGTTAATTCTGCAACCATTCTCAAAGACACATCAGGACCCAACTGTGGCCTCGTGCCACCTTTTGTAATCTTTTGAAGTATATCAAACCTGTCTTCAGTGCCAGGCATTCCGACGTACATGATCCTATCTAACCTTCCGGGTCTTAGGACAGCTGGGTCTATGATATCAGGTCGGTTTGTAGCTGCCAACACAAAAACTCCCTCACGACTTTCAATGCCATCCATTTCGGTCAACAATTGATTAACTACTCTTGCTGCTCCGTTGTTGTCTTGAGAGGTTCTTCGTGGGCATAATGCGTCAAATTCGTCAAAGAATATTACACAAGGAGCGGAATTTCGCGCTCGTCGGAAACATGTTCGAACTGCGCGTTCACTCTCTCCGACATACATGTTTAATAACTCGGGACCTTTCACTGAAATGAAGTTGACACCAGCCTCATTGGCAACGGCTTTTGCTAACAAAGTTTTACCACAGCCTGGAGGTCCACATAATAACACGCCACTAGGAGCTGACAGACCAAGTTTCTTTAGTTGATCGGGATATTTTACAGGTGCTAACACAGCCAACTGTAAATCCTTTCTAACTTGACTCAATGAGCCCACATCTTCCCAAGAAACATCAGGTACTGTAACAATACCCTCTCTCACGGCACAGGGTTTTGTTGTTTTTAAAGCGTTTAGGAAGTCTTCATATCTTATAGCTAGACCTTTTAACTGGTCAGATGTGTAAGGGAGATTATCTTCAAGAAGGCTTATTACTTCATCAACAGGATCTAATGGTTTCACATCTGGGACTATTGTGTGATTGTTTATAATTGGTTGATCGCCATTAATAGGTTCCTGTGTGGGTTCAGGTTGCTCAGTTTGTGGTGGCTGTTCTGTATTTGTGATTTCTGGATCTTCATTAAGTTCTTTTGCTGACTCTTCACTCGCTCCATCTCCATTTGGAATGACAGGTATTTCCTCAGGTTTAGCTTCTTCAATATTGTTCAATAACTGTTGTTTATTATGCACTTGGATTTCTGAAAATATTCTCTTAACAGCATAAGTACTTGCTTTATTTACAAGAGCTTGTAAGTCAGCTCCTACAAATCCTGGTGTTATTTGAGCTAAATTATTCATATCTATGTCACTGCTTAAAGCTAAATTTTTGCAAAGAATTGAAAGTATTTCTTTCCTAGCTTTTAATGATGGTATGCCTAAAGTAATCTCTTGTTCAAGTCGACCAGCTCTTCTTAATGCGGGGTCTAAGGTATCTGGATTATTTGTTGCTGCGAGAACAAGTACTGAGGCACTGCTTTCAGATAAATTATCTAAACTTGCCAATAGTTGAGCAACCATTCTTTTTTCCATATCTTTCTGTGCATTCATTCTGTTCCCACAGACAGCATCTATTTCATCAATGAACAAAATGCATGGAGCCACTGATGTTGCTTTCTCAAAAAGCTCTCTGATTCTCTCTTCAGATTCACCTGACATTCCACCAACTAATTCTGTTCCAGTGACTGCTATGAGTGGCAATTGTAGCTTACCAGCTATCGCATGAGCTAATAAAGTTTTTCCTGTACCTGGTGGTCCATGTAATAGAGCACCTCTAGGAGATTTTATTCCTAACTGTGAATATACTTCAGGATGTTTCATGTGTAACACTAAATCACATATTTGAGTAATAATATCAGATATACCGCCTATATCCTCAAAACTAACCTTAACGTTTTTAATTGGCGCAAATTCAACCTTTTTCTTTAGTATTGCACTCTTATTTATATCAACTTTTCGCTTTTTTTCACTGACATTTTGGTTTTGTTGGTGTTTCGGTGGATTTTCTGCGGGCGTATTGTTGGCATTACGCGACGGTATGTGTGGTGTGATAGTTATTTGATCATTGATTTTTGGGATTTTCGGTGCCGCGTTGCCGTCTTCATCACTGCTAAGAATATCAATAGGTTCGCCAGATTTGTCGGCCGCTCTGCGGGTGGCCGACGTCCGTTTGTTATCTTGCATCTTGTACATAGCTAATAAACGGTCATTAAGTGCACTGTTGTTTTCGTCTAATAACTCTAAATCGGATTCTTCTTCGGAGCCCTCAGACGTAGACGGACGCTCTAGACCGTATCTTTGTAATACTACTTTGTAGGCACTTTCAACCAGTTGACAAAACGCATTGTCGCCTCTGTTGCTGTATTCACGATAGCGCTCTTTGAGAGAACGCGCCATTTGGCTAACATCTACATAAGTCTTGTCCACGTTTTCGGCGAGGTAATTTTTGACCCGTGACACGATAACTGGGTCATTTATAGTTTTTTGTCTAGTTTGATGCTTCTTCATCTTTTATAATGTTTAGAATTGTGATCGAAAATAATTTTGTTCTGTCTTCGTCGCAGATTACAATGTTTGACAGCAGCGTCGCCGAATCAATGGAATTGTTGCCATGTGATAAAAAAATATTTGAGATCTAAAGCTCACTATGCACGATTATGTTTTTTAAAGTTTTGTAACGAAATAAAAGTAACATTTCTGTTTCAGGTTCCGAAAAAAGTATTAAGTTTAAAATTTGAAGCAACTCCAGATGATGAAAGCAAAAAGAGACTCATAAATACATTCATGAAGATTACAGAATTAAATGAAAAAGCAAGTGAGAGGTGAATAAAATGATTACTATACAATTTATAAATTATTATTTTCTGATTTCATATTATTTTTAAAACTAAATTTATTTAAGGACTAGTTTTTTTAGTGATAGTTTTTAGAAATAATTGCATTACATTCAAAGTTTTATATTACAAGACTTACAATATATTCATTGCTTTAATTAAAATCAATATTTTTCAGATATTTGCTATTTTTTTGTATTGTTTCAGGTGTTTGGAATCAAAGAGCTGGCACTTTCAACATGCATTAGAGTATTTTGCAAAGCTGCTGAAATTAGACGATATTCAATCATTAATGTCTTAATAATATTGTGTAGAAATGCAACAATGGAATAAATATTTAAAAATTGTTTTTGTTTTTTAGACAAACTTTTTTTCTTGTGCTCTTTATATCTTGCTTCATTTCTTCAGGTAAAATCAAAATATAATTCATCCGTAATAATTAATAACACATACTATAATTAAATTACACAGCAACATATCTATACATTATTATAATAAAATTGTAACTAAGCTAAATCTGTACATTAAATAATTTTTGGAAAATCTTATTGAAATAGACATTATTATTCATACAGAGGCCTAATCTATAGTTTTAAGAATTTTTGTCTGTCTGTTACCGCATCACAGAAAAACCACTGGAAAAATTTTGCTGAAATTTGGTATGATGATAGCTGGTTATCCGGGTCAACATATAGGATAATTTTTACCGCGGGAAAATGTCTCATTTCTGAGAAAAAATACAAAAACTGCAATGTAAGAGTATAGTAATATGTAAAACCTAAGTATTTTTAGTCATCTGAATGTGGGCGGAGCCACGGGTAATGCCAGTTTATTATAAATACAGTAAAATTGTATTATTCTTCTTACTATTTGTGTTAAATAAAACAACATTTTAAATATGGTTTATTATTAAAAAAAATATAGTATCTACACAATCATTTCAAGATGCCTAGCATATTCAATGGTTTGCTCGGCAAGTTCTGATGATGGGAAGACTCCAGCTGCTAATGCACAAGTTTCTTCTGAAGCATTGAAGTGATAACAATTGTCTGCTCCTAATACCCAGTTTCTCTATAATAAAACAGTTTTATTAGAATTATTAAAAACTAGGGGCTCACCTGTTAACGGTCAATATGGAATAGATACATACTAAATATAATATTACTGCTCCACTCCCTTTGGTAATAGCATGATGTTATATAGCCTATAGTCTTCAATAAATGGGCCATTTAATGCAAAAAGAATTTTTCAAATGGGATTAGTAGTCCCTGAGATTAGAGTGTCAAACAAACAAACTCAGCCTCTTTATAGTATTAGTATAGATATAAAATCATAGAATAAAGTTAAAGTAACATTCTTTATTCCTTTTAAAACAAAAAATTAAAGGCAATATTCAAATTAAAACACAATAAAAGTCAAAGCAGTCATGGTAATACATAAAAAAAATATGAATGAACAGCAATTTATAATTACCTTTTTCCCATATTCAAGTACAGCCTGCTGAGAAGACAAGTTCAATCGTCGAGCAGCTTCTGTACAAGATATACATAAATATGCTTTTTCAATACAAGCTGCAATTTCACCTCTAACTGTATCCAGAAGTGTGTCCATGAATAAGGTGTAGCTCTCTGCTGGGACATTGTCCTGAAATTCAAAAATTAAAGGTTACAATATTGCATGTTATAGTAAATTTAAGATAGGTATTACTGTTTGATTATGTAAGAAAAGGTAACAAACTATAAACCTTTTGCTAAATATATAAATTAATAAAAATGATAAAATGTTCTACCTTAGCCAAGAATATTTTATTATAACTTCCTTCCATCAAATATTGTTCCAAAGCTAGTGGATGTTTCACATAAGGATCAGCTCTTATCACATCAACTGGGAGACGTTCAAGTTCAGTATGAAACTCGGCTACACGATTTTGAGATAATAAGAAAAGTAAGTTAAGTCCAAGGAGTTGATACATAAATGCAGACTCTGGTAAATGGTCTCTGAAATTAATACACTTATATAAAATACAGAAAGCAGTAGAAATAAAAGTTTAGCAATATGAATAAATGTTCATTTGCAAAATAAGATATTTAAATTCATAGAAGTGTATTACCCGATTGCTTTTGTAAGTGTAACGTTTTAAATAATACTTAATCCAACCACATCTATAATCTTTTATTCCAATACTGTTGAAAGATTTTCAACAGGATCTGAAAATTATACTTACTTGTAATCAAAATAGTAACATTTCAATTGCGACATGAATCTTTCGAATGCTTTTACATCTTTAGCGGCTACAGCCCACTGTGCACCAATTTCCAAAACGTCTCGAGCTAGTATCAATTCTTTCTGATTAGCGGATGTATTATTGCTTGGTAGAAAAGTAAGCTGTGTTAATGCAATCTGGAAATAAAGGAATTATAAAATATTATTTGGAAATATTATTATTTTCAACATTTTATCGTAACAATTTCAGTTTGTTGTCCACCATAAAATGATTTGACTAGTCATGGTCCTTACCTTTATTTTGTTTAGAAGTTCACCGCATTTATCAAGTTTGCGCGGTTTTTTGGCCCATTCTGTTTTTAAATTTTGGTAAAGGGTAGCGACGTCTTTAACAGTAGCCATTTTTTCAATATTTTTTCTTAAAAAAAGCCTTAGTTTTTAGCGTCGTTCAAGGAAATTGAAGATTGTTCACTGTCATAGAGTATATTGCTACATATATTCACTGTTCAATGTTCATGACAAATTTGACAGCTAGGCTGCTAGACAGCTTGTAAAGATAGCAGATAAAGAAAATTCATTTGACAAGTCATTGTAATCATAAACACATTTTTATCTAATTATTGTTTTTATCATAGAGTAAAGAATAATAAATGCGTATCACTTCTATACAGTTTGTACGATAGTACAGTAAGATGTATAGTTTATATAAAAAACAGTAGAAAAAAATATATTATAAAAATAGTCGGAGACATCACGTTTCAACCTTGCCGCGAGATGTACATAACTTGTGAGTGACATACTCACAAGTTATAATTACTCACTATAGATTGAAAACAATCGATTTAAAATGTTTTAAATATAATGTTGCTGTTTTAAACGCTAAATAAATAGTTTTAAACCATTGAAAACTCGCCTACAAAAATAAAAAAGAACTGTGTTTTACATATTTTTTGTGAGCAATTTTTGGTCACCTATCATTGTCATCAAATTGATTATTTATATCGTTTGAGAACATTGAAAAAAATGTTTATTTACCAACACAGAGTTTTTAATAGAGTTTAATAACTTAGGTATGTTATAACTGCGCTTGGTCAGATGGACCAACTAGAACTAAACCCGCTAAGTATATCAATATATCAAACATATAAAAATCTTTACACAGTTTATAGATATTCCGTCATATCCCAACCTTGGTAAAATCAACAAAATGTAGGTAGTTATAATTAAGAAAACGTAGTCATAAACACCAAATATTTTAAATAAAAAAAATTGTTTATTTCGGTTTTAACCAGTTTTTTGTTTTAAAAGGATTGGTTTTAAGCCGGTCTCTAAATATGTCTATAAACGTTCGTCAACTTGTTTTCATGTTTTTAGTTAGCTTTTATGCAATCAGGTTTTTTATTTTTATAGTACATATTTTATTTACAGCTTTGTAGTTTTTACCAATCAGACATTTGAAGTTAGATTTAGTAACTTTTTATCCTAAATTACTTTTCAATACATAAATAGTATATATTTTTGTTATCGCCTCTTAAAAATATTTATTTTGATACCTAATTCGATTGGCTTGGAAGATACATTAATTGGCTCCTGAAATCCGTCATTTAAATTTTTCACTATTTTATATATCACAAAACACTCGTGTAATCAAGAGGAATCTAACGACATATCATCAAAATCGACCCACGCGTTTGGTCTCTACTACTCTAGAACGCCACATAGGAACAAACATACGTACATACATACGTACAATGCACATAGACTGATAAGCAGATTTTCCTCGCTCGTTGCGCACTCGGATAAAAATCAAAGTATTAATAAGATTAATAGTATGATATTTAAACAGTTAAACTTAGCGAATATTTTTTTAAAGGTAAAAAGTTTTAATTGCAGATTTAAACATGTATAAGTATTAAAAGAAAATTAAAATACTCTTAAATCTTAAATTACTATTATAAAATAAATAAATAGGTAAGTTTGGACCATTATATTTAATTATAGGACATAGACAATCCATTAACAGATTTAAATTTTTATCATTATCAATTGACAACAGCTGTCATCATACATTTAGTTGACAGAATTTTCTTACAGTGGAGATATGTTTCGATCTTTGTCGATTATTCAATAACGGATAAAAAAATTTTTACGCATAAATATGATGTTAATACGCCCAAAATCCATTTAAAATGAAGTAAACTATGATATCCAAATATGTGCTCACCGTCGGCCGTGGTGTGCCGCGAGATATTCGATGAGAATAGCCAGCCTTCTGCAGAGGGTCTGTATTGTTTGTATTTGTATGAATGTAGATTTTTCATTAATATTTTTTGCATTATTTTTACGTAAGTCATTAATTATAATTGTTTTTATAAATAAATCTGATATGTGCAGAATTTCTTAAACAATTAAAAAATTTGCTAGTCAAAATTTTAAATTAATATAATTATCCTAAGTATCATGATAAATGGTCATATATTAATTTGTGATTATTGTATAATTTTTAGCTTTTTTATAATAGACATTACATTTAAGTTGATTTATTTTACTCTGACTTAGTAATTTTTTTTATTCAAGTATGGTTGATTATAACATTTATTGTATTTGATTACTTGGTACTTATTTTATTCAAACAACTATATATTGGTGGCCTGCCTGTATATATAGTCTTGTATAAAAATAGCTTAATACTTACAATACTGCTATTTAAAAATTATTATTAATTCTAATATTTATATAGGTAGAAACAAAGTTTATTCATAAACATTTTTGTTATAGAAATATCTGATTATGCCTGCCAATTGGGCATTGACCCTGAGAGTGAGAGCCATCTCTTGCCACTGGCTCGAGATGGTCTCATGCAAGCGCTGCCAGCACCATGGAAAGCTTAGTGAGTTTAATTTTTGACTTCCATATGTGATTAATAATTTATTGGCTTACTATAAAAGTTAAAAAAGTTACAAACTATTTTTTTATCTAAAATGTAGTTTAAAATTTAAATGATGAGTAAAGGGCAAGCCTTTAACAATTCATCTTTTAAGTTATGCTGATGCCTGAGTAACATGCTCTTTAACAATATTTTATGCTTTGGTTATATTGTCGGTTGGTCCTTTATTATTTATTTTTATATTTATATTCTAATTTCAAACAAGTGAAATTTTAATACTGCTATGAACAAAAAAATCCTATATTTAAAATCCTTTAAACCAAATTGAAAATTTTAATAGTAGTCATGCAATAGCATGTCTACTCCTGCAGAAACCAAGGTGTGGCTTTAACATAAACATGCTATAACTACTTACATTAGGAACATTAGAAACACACATAGTAGATGTTGATTACTTTACGAATGTTATGATACTAAATTTATAATCTTTATATGTTATTGACCAAGTGATTAATAGGACAATATTAATAATGCCCAGACATTTAAAAAAATGCCTAATATGAGAAATCATTATGATAATAACTATTGAAATAATTAAATTGAAACGGGCTTTATGAATAGTGTCCTTTGCCAATTGGGCAGAATAATAAAAAATGTGGTTTATTTAATTGTTTTAATATGTGGCATTATACAGACCGGGCATTATACATTGTGCCTTAATTAATCACTTGGCCCATAAAATATACATGCTTTTAACTGTTACTGTGCACTATATCTAACATTTCTCAGTGTGTAATTGTGGTTACATGATATGGTTCTCGATGTTGTAACATGTTCAACAAATTAAAAATGAAATTTAGAATGGAGAGAGCTTAATGGTTACACTACTTTTTAGCAATATAACTGCCACGCAAGTGGAATAGTAGACAAAATCTAGTGTTTTATAATAACTTTTACATAATTTTTAGCACATAGTAGGTATAGATCTTAGAATAGGTCATTTAAAACTTTATAACTATCCTAGCAATCTATTATGGGTTTCGGTAATAAGGAATGAGTTAGTTCCTGGTTGTTAACCGATTTCCAAAAAAGAGGTGATTCTCAATTCGTCAGAATGTTTTTTTTTAATGTATGTTCACCGATTACTTGAAGACGCCTGAACCGATTTGGATTTTTTTGTTTCGAAGGGTATACTTTCCAGGTGGTCCCATTTAAATTTTATCGAAATCGGTCGAGCGGTTTTTTTAAAAATCAACTATAACTTATTTTTTTAAATAAATTGTTTTATCGCATATGTTATTAAAAAACTCTCTTCTTAAAAATTACCTGCTTATTACGTCTAAACTAAAAATGGAAAAATAAAAATTTAAAAAAACGGACTTCCAGTCACTAAAATGTTAAAAATGACTAAACGGGGGTTTTCATTTAGAATAGATACCTATTCAGATATTTTCGAAGTCTGTGCCAGCCCACAATATTTTAAGATATGAATATCTAATAGATAAATATGATTAGGTATGAATTCTAATCTTCTTCTTCTCCCTGTCCATTTCCCAATTACTTGGGGTCGGCGGAGTACATCTTCTGTACTGCTGATAAGATTTGGCAATACTTTTACGACCGGCCGCCTGCCTGACGTCAACCCTCCTTGGGAATGCTATTGTTTATCGCAGAAGTCTTGTAATATGTATACATATATGTGTAATCTCTTCCATACATAATATTCTGAAAAAAAAAACTTACGAGTGGTTACTATAAGTATCTATGTATATATATTTCTTTAGTTTCGATGAAAAACTTCAAACACACTACTACTACAATGAAGACACGAAAAACACTCAATGGGAGCATCCGTTAGATCACGTTTATAGGGAACTAGTGAAGAAAGCTCGGGATGCGTCGATGCAAGATGACACGTGTGCTTCTGTACAGGTGTGTATAATTTTTTTTAATAATTTATGTATTTTTTGCTTTGCATCATATTTAGATCGAACTATTTTACTTTTTTAATGTATATAACATTTTCCTTTGCCCTGATACACTGCTTGAATAGGCGTCAGACAGTAATTTTGATATGTGAAATTTTTAAAGTCCATACTTTATCTTTGTGCTCTTTTTGGTGTATCATATAGAATTTCGCAAATAGATACTCAATATAAATTATTTTAAAGGAAGGAGGCGAAAAAAGATTAGCAAATTCATGCATATTTTTTGCTGTAAGCTATTATTCATTTGATACATTCTTAATATATTAATGTAACGAGCTCCTGGTGTGGTCTCCACTGATCACTGATGATGAGAGTGTCTGTTATTATTACACTCAAAACCTAACGAAGGCATCCTATGGGGCCCTGTTCATAGCGTTATTTAAAAAAAATTGTAGTAATTTACATACAAATGTATTTGGTTCACATGCCACTCAAAAATCTTAAAAATATATACATTAGTTCGAGCATCGAACCTGTGAACACTTGGATATATACGTCATGACACACCGTGAAATTAAAATATTGCCATGTCTGAGGAAATACGAATACATATTATAGAATATAGGCATAAATGTCAAGTGTTTTGCATTTCCATCTAATTTCCATCAGCTGATTGATATGCAATATTGCAAATTACATCCGACCCCAGTAGTGAATACTACTCTGATTAAACGTCAAACGCCGTCATATTAATCCAAATAAACATGTTTACTTTGAGGAAAACGCTTTAAATCCCTTAATTACTTTAAGTAACTTTGTGTGGAATGTTTTGAAAAGTATTTTTTTGCTTTCCATCTCAAAAACTTAGAAAAAGTACTTAAAAAAAAAGAAGTTTAATTTTTTTATAAGTCAATTTATAATTTATCAATTTCCACGTTACGTTGGTCTTGGATGCAACTGGCATTTACCGTTTTAGATATCACGTGTTCGATTTTAGTGTAATTTGCAAATAAATAATAGGTAATAAACTTTGCATGCTCAACATTTTCTAGGAAAGACGTTTCGAATAGGTAAAATACATATACACATATAATCCACATATAATACAATACCACATATAATCTCTCAAAAATATTTATAACTTCAATATGAATATCAAGGCACATACCTACTTAGGCTACTTACATTCGCCAAAATAATGCATGTTTTATACTTTTTAGTATTTTTAATACAGCTTCTTTTTTTTTTAATTAAATGGGAAAGTGGAGATATAATATAATTAATTATACTCTCCTCTTACAAATTACAGGAACTATTAACATCAGAAGAAAACACCAAAAATCTAGAACGAGTAGAAACAAAAGTAGAAAGCGATGATGACGATCTTAGTACTGACAGTGAGCAAAATGACGTAAAAGATGTGAATTCGACTTTAGTACATAATAGACGTTTAACCCCTTTAGGGAGACCCCCACTGCCCCTTTCAAGATTAGATAAAAAGCTAGCCGAATTGAGAATATCACCCTTAAGAAGGAGTGTAGATAGCACAATGACTCCTAAACCACTTATACGGAACACATCAGACAGAGATATACTAGGTCGGACGACTTTTGAAAGGCCAAAAATGCTATTTAAACAACAATCAGAGATAATAGATTTAAAAATGAATGTATTAACAAGTCCCGAAGAGGAGAATTTTAGCTCGTTGTTAGCATCTGCCAAAGTAGATAAGGGGTTGCCTTTGACTGGTAAGTTTTAGCGACAAGTGCTACTTGAAAGTTTGTCAATATATGTTATACAACTCGATTTGGATAATACGTAACAGATTTTTAATAAAATAAAAATCAAAATAGAGCCGTTTTTAGGAATCTGTTTCTATGAAGCGAGTTTTACACTTGAATAAATTAATACTGTATACGAGAATTAAAAAATGTATACGAAAAGTGATCTATTTGTCGAATGATATTATGTTTTAATAATTTAGTGTTATTAAATTTTTTATTTCATATATTTAAAGGTAAAGGCAACATGTTTCTCAAGATATCTCGCTCAAATTTGCCAAGTCCAGATACAGAGAAGTCACTTAATGTAGAATCTGTTACTAAAAGCGATCCACCGAAGGGTATATTAAGGGAGAAAACATCGGATTCATTACACAGGAAGGCAGAGAGTGCTGTATTGGGCAAAGCGAAGCAAACGCCAAGTTTTGAAGAAGATAAGAAAAGTGTTAGGTGAGTGAAGTCATTAAACGAAAATTTTTGAATGTCAGTATTTTAATAAGAATAACTTAATTTTTTGTTTATAATCTCGTTTTTTGTTATGGCTTAGATTTTTTCGTGTTTGTTTAATAATAGCTGTGACTGACTTCAATGAATCGATTACTTAATTTGGGTGTATATTTTTGTTTGAAGTATTTTAGGAAGTATAAGAAGTTCCTAATTATAAACCCGTTTGTTGTCAATCCTTGATATTGTTAAACTTAAATGAGAAAAAATCTAGAAAAAGCTGATTCGTGAAGGACCCTCCGATGGTCAAGTTTAAATTTATATGCAGGGATTAAAGTTGCAACCTCTAAGTATTATGCCATCAAATTGATTATGTATTAAAATAATTATAATTTTCATTATATTACGTTATAAACTTTTATTGCTAGGTAATATTAAGGATTGGTGTAACTTTTAATTATTGTAAGATTCAATAAAATCAAAATAATTTTATGCACGATATTTAAAATTTTGTATACACAATAATATTATATTTCAGATTTAAATTGGAAAACCTTCCCGAACCTACACTAAGTCCGGGTTCGAACAGTTCATCCGAACAGAATGACGGACAAAGTTCCATTATCAGTGTGCCACCAACTATGCCTTCCCCCATCATACCATCATCACCTATCACACCACCAATATCACAAAACTCAAATCCTATCACAGCCATCATGTCCCAGTCTATGCCATCACCTATCACACAAACAAATATAGCTCCTATCATACCTATCACGTCTATCACACTATCACCATTAGTAACAAGGCCACCATTGCCACCTCGAATCTTAGACAGTCCGAGAGAAGTGAAAAGTATATCGGTATCAGAAAAAGACTCTTTAGGTAAGTTGTTATTTAATTTTAGGAGTTAAAGTATTCAGTTTGAAGTAAAACTTAAGGCGTGACTGAGGAAAAATGAGTGTCGCGGAAGTGAGATTCTTTCTTATTAATATTTAAAAAATATATTATATTTATATTTCCATAATAATTATTACCTTTAAAAATTAATATATTTATTCATATTATTTTTAATATTATAAATGTGAAAGTTTGTGAGTATGTATGGATATTTGTAATTTTTTCACGCCCGAACGGCTGAACGGATCTGGATGAAATTTGGCACAGATATAGATTATAGTATGGAATAACACTATTTTTTGTCTCGGAAAAATGTACTGTTCCCGTGGGATAGGTTTGTTTTTGTTTTCCTAGAGGCGAGCGAGGGTGAGCCGCTAGTTACTAATAATTTTATAAAAAATATTATATTTCAGGGGTCCAATAACAAAGGCGGCAAAATTCAGTTCACTGGACTTTGCCGTCTTTGTTATTAGATCTCTGATTTATATTTCGATATGTTTTAATTTAACTGCGGTATATACCACAGCGCCAATAAGTTTTACTTAAACCGCGCCTAAAGGTTACATGCACTCATTTTTTTTAAACTAGCTACTGCCTTTACCATCGAGCTGATGCGATGATGGAGCTAGGAGGTAGATAGTGGAAATCTTCATTGGATTCTAGTCTATTTGTCTTTTGATGAGACTCATACATACAATCGGTCGAAAGAGCATTTTGGCTTGTATACGTTAATCTACTTAAACGATGTAAATAAAATTCAGTTATAATTTTAAAATGTATGTCTTTGTAAATCAAAAAATGGACCTGTTGTGTTTTTAACAATTATTTTTGTTAAAAAATAAATATTTGACTATTTTCTTCAATAGATAGTGAAAGTGTTAATCGCGGCACATCTCCAAGAAGACGTTTAGTGAAACCGCCTCCAGGTGATTACATAAAGCCGGAGTTATTTCAAAAGAATTTCCAAAAAATATCCGATTTGGTGCGACGAGCAGACATCGAACCCCCGTCACTTACGATCGAAGAACCGTCATCTGATAAAGAAGCGAGACCGAGGTAAAATGATATACAATAGGTCTTATTATAAACTAAGTTTACCACTCAATATGCTTAAGTAAATAATGTAAACCCAATTTATGGTATCTGTTAAGATACTATCTCTTTTTATTAGTTATGTAAAGATTCAGCTGTGGATTTTATATAGTAAGTAAATAATTAAGATTTTAGACCTTTAGAAATGGGTAAAACCATATTTTGCCTATATTTTTTTGTTTGCCGATATTTTCAGAAAATATTATTATGTTTTATATTGATTTTACTCGAGCTGATAAATTATTATTTCCAAGAATGAAACGTCTAAGTTATAAATCGTAATATCTCCTTATCTCGTTTGAAACTTTTTGCAGATCACCAATGATACCGTTGAAAAGTAAAATTTCCATTAACCTAATGGAAAGTATTGAATCTGAGACATCAATCGATTCTCCCGACCGTGAATTCGCTAATTTAGACCTTAACGACTTAGACGACTCCAATGCACAAAAACCCGAGCCAGATACAAAAGATAAGGAAAAAACTCCACGAACAGACGACAATCAGTCTAAAACCGAATCTATACAAAGATCCCGCGACTTACCAATACTACAAATAAAAGTTCCTAAATTAGATTTCGCAAAGCCATTTACACATTCCGATTCGGAAGATTCGAAGCGGTCGAAGGATGATGAACCTAAAAGTAGTGTACGATCGCATAGTATCGACGTCCCGAAAGACATAAAAGGTCAATTAAAATTATCTCCCACACAAAGTTTAACAGATAGATCACCGCGTTTAGAATTCACCAAAAATTGGTCAAGCCCTCTATCGACTTTCAAACCTTTAACCAAATCTATTATGAACCCCTTAAAAACGTCCGATTCGGCTTCTAGTTTGGGCAAAAACCTAACTAGTCCTAGATTGGATGGTGTTATTATATCTCAGGGTAAATCGAGTTCAGATAACGTGGTAGTAGTTTATCAGTTTGAAAGTCAAGATGAAACTCAGAAACCTATGAAATCTCCACTAATACCTGATATGGGGGTTCGGGAGATGTTCGAAAGGAATAAACAGGATGAGAGAAGGAGATTAGAACTGTCTCTACAGAAAGAGTTGGAGATCATCAGAATGGAATTCACGGCGAAGGAGAAGAGAATGAGGGCGGAATTGCAAGAAGAGTTGAAGGAAGCTGAAGAGAAGTTCTTGAATGATAAGAGATTGAGATTGTCTGAGCAGAATGATAGACATAGACGGGAAATGGAGGACGTAAGTCGAATTTTTATATCATCTTTCCCTAAGTTTTTTATGAACATATTCATGTGGTACAGAGTGTAATTGTTTAAATTGGAGTATATATAACAAAATAAGATTTTTGATGGGTCGATGTTAGTAACAATAATTTATTCATAGGTTTTTACAAAGATATATAATATGTAAAAGATACGCCAAGTTATATGGTTATAAATAAATTCTTAAATCATGTATGACGCAATCGGAATTAGGTAAATGATGAAGAATTAAATTAGACCGACAACTCATTTGCATTCTACCTCTATAAGTTAAAAACCTGTCTTTCAGTTTATAGTTTTACCATGCATTTTTTACTGTGACAAAAGTTTATGACAAGTGTATCCGAGGAGTACATGCTGTCGTGGAGATTTTCGCGATGTTGTGCATATATATTTCTGGAATAAAACATACTTCTCTAAATTTCAGTGAAAGTCCCATTACAATTTTTTAAGCCGTCCCAAGATTATCCCGGGCGAATAAACAGACAGACAAAAATTTAAAAAATTATTTCTTAGGTACTGGTATCATATGAATAATCATGCACTTGAGAAAACTTACTCACTTTGAAAGTATAGACAGACACTTCAATTTTATTTATATGTATAGATTACTTTCAATAATCCAATAAATCTCTTTTAAGGCACTATCCGAAGCGGAACGAAATCATAAACAAGAATTACAAAACAAGTTAAAAGAACTCGAAAGAAAATATCAAAATGATGTTGAAATGACTGAGAAACAGCATGAAAACAATATGGCGAGATTGAGAGAGGATTTTAGCGACAAGTTTATTGAGTTGAGAGAACAGTTGGAGATTGGTAAGTTTATGGAAGGTTCTAAATTATATTATGTTAGAAGTTTTTGTTTGGATAGTTGGGTTTACATGCGGTAGGGAAGCAATAAGTAGGCCCAGAGGAAGTAATGGAGTGTTCCTCTAAGTAAATCCTGCAGTTTATTGTATTCAGTCCTTTTTAACGTCCCACTGCTGGGCATGAGCCTCCCTTCAATACGAGGGGGTTCAGGCCATAGTCCACCACGCTGGTCAAGTGCGGGTTGGCGGACTCCATATGTCTTTTAAAAACTTGCTAGGTTCTCTCAGACATGCAACTTTCCTCACGATGTTATCCTTCAACGTAAGGCAAGTGATAAACATGTTGGAAATGATTCGCACATGAAAATATCAGAGGTGGACCTGGGATTTGAACTCGCTTCACTATGTTTCCCAAGCGAGCGTGTTATCACTGGGTCTGCCACTGCCTACAAGTTTAATCTAGTCCGCAATGCGGCGATAACAATAAACTCAAGAATGGTCGTAGTGACATCTTATAGCCGCTAAAAATGAAATAAAATAAAAATTGTATATTTGGTTCATGAAACATAGATTGTTAAATACAACAATAAAAAATATTAATATTTATAGATACATAATTGGAATATTTTAATAAAAATATAAACTACTAGGTTGATTCCCCATACAAACTTTTATCCCCATTTTCACCCCCTCAAGGGATAATTTCCGGGATAAAACTATTCTATGTCCTCTCCAGGGTCTCAAACTATTTTCTTATCAATATTCATCTAAATCGGTCCAGTAGTTTCAGAGCTTATTTGGTACAAACAAACAAACAAAAAATCTTTCCTTTTTATAATATTAGCATAGATTTTTCTTTATTATCGTATTATTTTACAGAAAACGAACGCGCTTTATCGGATATACACAGCCAATTACAAATGAATCTGAACAGAGAAAGATCTAGAATGATAGAAGAGAACAGAGCCACCGTAGAGAGCTTGAGAGAAGAACACACCACCAGAATTACTGATCTGCGACACGATTATAGGGCTGAGGTAAGTTTTATTTAATTTGTTTGTTTTTATTGTTTATTTATATATTATATATAAATAGGACAAGCTTTTCTATAGATTTATTGATTAAGGAATAACGATATAGAAAAAAAAAGATTATTTTTTTTGGCTATTGCTACTTTTGTACTGTTTGTTTGGTTTTCTTGAGATTTAAAAAAAATATATTTATTTTATTTATGTATTCGGTTAGGTGTGCCATATGCGTGTTGTTCATTTACATACATGCACATACCTATAGATCGTCTGGTTTTAGGCGAGTAAAAAACGAATTAAAAAAATATATTTTATTCATTTGGTGAGATCAAGGAACTCAGTTTTTTTTTATTTAACTTGTTGTAAGCTAGGTAGGACACGGCAGATGTGAAACATCTATTTTAATATTAGAATTTATAATTAATACATATATAAATAACAAAATATGAAATAAAATAAAGAAAAAAAAATAATTTCGTTAATAAAATTAGTTTATTTTTCTTATTTTTTCAATAATAATAATAATTATACAATATATATTCATAAATAGAATGGAAAATATGTAAGTATTTTTATTAGAGATTGTTTAACAATGGAATCGAGAGCGGTGGTGTAGAAGGGGACTGATGGCATGACACTGACAGCATCACGTCACCGTTTGTCGTCACGCTATGCGAGTCGGTTTTACTGCTAAGGCGCGTTAATGGACGTTTCACATTAAAAAAAAACATGTGTATGTACTTATGTACGCACGTAAGAAGTTATACTTCTTTGGCGTAACAAAACAAATATAGTTAAAGATTTCATCCCGTAAGTCACAACTCGTTTGTAAAAGGAATGATAAATTTTAATGAAAATAACTAAATAACGCATATTAGGCATATCACAATCATATATTTACAGAATATCATTTAAGGAAAGAATATAATATATATCATTTGTTAGACAATAACAACGGTTACCATGGCAACAAAACGTATTCACCAGCTTACACCCCCAAGTCAAGTGTGCGTAAAGAAGTTTTACTTTAAAAATTGTTTTTATATTGTATTAGGTGGAGCGCCTGCGCGCGCAGCACGCCTGCCACCTGGAGGAGCTGCGCGCGCGCCTGGCGGGCGAGCGCGCGGCGCGCGGCGGCGGCGGCGAGCGCGCGCTGCACGACAAGTACCGCTGTCTCAAGGAGAAGTACGCGCGGCTCAAGCAGGACGTTAAGGTTACACCGTTTGTTTGTCTGTTTTAATGCCTGACTCGACTGACCTCGTTCTCTCAAATCAACTGTGTGGCAAACCCGATTAGAAAAATTATGTTTTTACGTTTTTTCCAGACATTTTTTTCCAATTAGAAAATAAAATAATAATTATGTATGTTTTAGTTAAATGTATTGCTACACGTAAAATTCGAAAAAAAATTGATTAATTCTGCTATTTTTTTATTTAAATATTCGCTAAAGTCTAAAGAAAGTTCTTATGATGAGAAAAATTTGACGACACGTTTGACTCAGTTAGTAGTGACCCTACTTGCTGTCCCAGCGGTCGCGGGTTCGAGTCCCGCTGGAGGCATTCATTTGTGTGATGAACGCAAATGTTCGTACTCCAGTCATGGGTGTTTATATTTATAATATGTATGTACTTAAAGTTATATATTACGTGTATTGTATCAACTATCTGGTATCCATAACACAAGCCTCGTAGCTTACCATGGAACTAGATGGTACTGTGTGTTAAATGTTCTGACATATTTATTTATATAATATTATTATATGTATACGAAAAAAACTGAATGTATATATTATTATTTTTTTCTTTTAGATGTCAATAGAAAGACGCAATAAAAGAAGAGAAATGAGCATGACAACTGGTTCTGAAACTGAAAAATCTAATTCGCACAAAGCGAATCAGTCATTAGAGAGGTGATATATTTTTATCTTGGTATCATCTTACTTATTACTATATAAATGCGAAAGCTTGGAAGGACTTTGTTACTCAATTACACTAGAACAGCTGAACGGATCTGGATGAAATTTGGCACAGAGATAGATTATAGTCTGGAATGGCACATAGGCTACTTTTTATCCCGGAAAAATGCACGGTTCCCGTGGGATAAATATGTTTTTGTTTTTCACTAGGCGAAGCAAAGGGTGAGTCGCTAGTATCATATATATTATTTTAATCATTGTTATAGTTTGTTAGATCTATATTTGTGAGAACTATTAAAAAAATATATATTTTCATATAAATTTATGTCAATACAAATAAATTTTCTATTTATACTAGCTACTTTCTCCACGCTTCGCTCGGGTGCGTCTCTATGTAAACAAATGTTTTCCTGTATTTAAAAGGTATTCTAAATGTTGATCCGACTAATAAGTTATCACTACCCAAAATTTAGTTAAAATCTATTAAATTTATTGTGTACTTTTTGCGTAAACGTACACAGATATACAGACAAACAGACAAAATGTTTCATAACTATTGATTCTATATTCTGTACACAATATGTAACAGTCAATTGTTTTTAAAAAAATATTTTAATGTACAGATTTCGCTTTCTTACTATTTTATTATAGGTATGTATGGATTTACTTGATGTGACAGTGTAGAATTTTTAGCATTAGTTCAGTATTTATGTATATTATCGTATATATAAAACAAATGTCCATACTAATATTATAAATGAAAAAGTAACTGTCTTTCTTTTTGTCTGTCTATTCGATCTGATTTCACGTTTTATCCCTTGAACCGATTTAGATAATGTTTGGTATGTAGTTAGTTGAGACCTTGGAAAGGACATAATATAGTTTTTATCCCGGAAATCATCCCTTAAGGGGGTGAAAAGGTAGGATGTTTGTATGAAGAATCAATTATCTCTCATATAAGGGATATAAAACTCATCATACCTATGTACATATATACATATAGATTATCTATTCTATATTAATGTAAGCATCAAAACTTACCTAGGGACGAACCCGAGCGAAGCGCGGGTGAGTCGCTAGTCTTTATATAAATGTATTTCAGATGTAAAGAATTAAACGAAACGTCAGTGAGCGTCGTCGTAGAAATGGAACCATCAAGGATCAAAAACAACAATCCAACTATAAAGTTCAATGACAATGAAACTTCATATTCAGAAAGCAATGCTCAGAAATCGGTAGATAATAATAATATTGAATGGAAGATTAGAAGAGATAATGTAAGTAACATTTTCAAATCCATACTATTATACTAATATTATAATGCTGTCTATATGTCTGTCTGTTACCTAATCAAGCCTAAACCGTTGAATCAATTTTGATGAATTTTGGTATAAAGATGGATGGGACCATGGAGAAGGATATATGCTTTTCGTCGCAAAATTAAAACTTGAAGGGTGTAAAATAGTGGTTGAAAGTTTGTATTGAGAACAAATAATTCTCCGAGTTAAGGACATAAAACTTCGTTAGATCCTATATTCATTTATTATAAATCGGTTTACAAATAGTATAGCGCGTGAATTCAAGCTTAAGAAGTATACAAACACTAGCGACTCACCCTCGCTCTGCTCGTTGTTCGTCCCTTATTACGTTTTAACTTTTAGTTTAGATTTCTCAGAGATGAAATATTTTCCCGCAGTAAAAAGTATCCTATATGTTGACCTGGATAACCGGCTATCATCATACCGAATTTCATCAAAATGTGTCCAGTGGTTTTCTCGTGATGCGTTCCCAGACAGACAGACATAATTTCTAAAAACAATAGATTCGGCCTCTATATCGATAACAATCACTATTTCAATAAGATTTTCCAAAAAATATTTAATGTACACATTCGACTCAGAATTTTATATATGTATAGATAAAGTATATCTATGATTTTCAGACAATCCAGTCGGACACGTCGCAAATGTCTGCAATGAAACATTCAAAAAATAAACGCAATGCAGTAGCTTTCCGCGAACCGCCGCGTCGGCGGAGAGATAATGATGGAGGTGAATATTTACATAATTATTTAATAACTATACTGTATTTGCCAAATGAGGCACTGAGATTTTGCGCTTCCACGTTATTAGTTGGAGATAGGACGCTTAGGCCGCGATCACAATGCAAGTTATAATTAGTCTGTCGTAGTATTCCTAACGTTCAGACGTCTCCCGTATAGTTACCTCATTTATTATCAATGTAGACGACAGTGATACGTCGGAAAGCGAAAATTAATAAATTATGTATATAAATGTTTAAAAATACTTTTAATTTTATTTGTATGTTGATTTTATTTTATTATAAATTATTAATAGTCCCTCACTAAAGTATTAGCAACATGAACGAGCCCTATGATTTCAAACCAGTTGCAAGTGTTAGTGGGCGGAGCTAGACAGTTTTCTGTCCTTATCAGTTTATATGCTAATGTGGAACAGAGAAAGCGCTTTGTATGGTTCACTCCGTGAATCTCTAATTTTAAATAAAACAATCTTTTCAGTTTTTTTTTCACGGATTTATTTTGATTTTTGGTTCTCCACCGAATCCGACTGAATCCGAAAAGATAGTTTTATTTAAAATGTCAAATATTCGCGTAAATCTAAGAAAGTATTATGTGAACTAAATCTCTTTTGTTATATAACGATTTATTTACAATGAACATAATTGTAAATAAGTATTGACATAATTTGAGCATAGTTTTTTAAGAAAATATTAAAGAAATCTATCTGTACGGGAACAAACTGAAAAGTTACATTATAAATTGTATGATAAAGACTATGTGAGTTGAAAACTGTGTTAACTAATAACGCAAATCTGATTATTATTTTTATATGAATTTTATACTAGTTTCAATTTTATATTTTTTTACTATTAACTTTTTTTTACTATTTTTTTTATAAACGGTTTTGAAAATTTATTAGTGACTTTTTTAATGAGGTTTGGCTTTTTTTTTAAAGGTTTGTGACATTTTTTACAAGAAATCATTTAAATTAGATAATTAAATAGAACACAATTGAGCATATTTAAAAGTAAACACACCTTGCATATTTTTTTGTCCCTTTTTCACAATTATGAAGATTTTAAAAACATAATATTTTAGATAAATCATTGGATTAAATTAATTCAATAAAAATATAGCAACAACAACAATTTACAAATTATAATTAATTATATAAATATCTATAATTTACAATGTATATACATTATGATAATCAAGGTAATAGCGATTAAAAGGTAACTGTTGCAATATTGGACAGAACAAACTTTGATCCTTTTATTACTTATTAATTGATTATTTGATTCAACTTAAACATATAATATATAAAATTCTCGTGTCACAGTGTTTGTAACAAAACTCCTCCGAAACTTCTTGAACGATTCTTATGAAATTTTGTGTGTATATTCAGTAGGTATGAGAATAGGACGTAAACTATTTTTAAACCTATTTTAAACCCTAAGTGATAAGGGTGAGTCGCTAGTTTTATAATAATAATTACAGTTACATGTCAACACTAAAGTCGTTTCCCGACTACTATATAAAAATTAGTATGATAGTCGAGTGCGACTCACCTGTGTCTTTGTTAGACGATGTTATGGTCTAAACTGTATTTAGTATGTGTTTTGATAATTTTTGTGTGTCACCTAGATTAATTATCACAGGTGCGACCACAGATTGCCAAGACTCGTCGGATGCGACCACAGCCGATGAGAAACCCAAAGAAACTATCAATGGAAATGGTATATAACCTTATGTATTGCTATACTTAGTTATATATAACATATAAAGAATTTAAATTGATTCAATTATTTTTATATATTGTTATTTTTTTCATTTTGCTTGTCAGATTTGAAATATTTGTACATAAGTGTATAAGGTTTTTTACTTTTCCGCTTTTAGTACTTTTAAGTCATGATTACTTGAAATAAATTAATAATAATAATTATTATTTTATATCTCTCGCCAAAATCTTCTATTTGGCAATGAAAGACTCGTTTAGTTATTATTTAATGTACAAATTCGACTCAGAATTTTATTATATGTATAGATTATTATTATTAACAGGTCCCGGGCGAAGAAGATGTTTCACGAGATTAAAGTCAGCATCAACATCTCGTCTTAACTATTCACCTAAGTATGTATAAAATTAGTTTTCTTTATCGAGGCATTTTTTTACTTTGTATGATATATACTTTTAATCATATCTTGAATGGATAATTTGACATTTACAATTATTATAATTTTTAGGGTATCTAGCCAAAAGGCTAAAACGAAATCCTTGTCCGTCTGATCACCTGTCTGTATGTATGTCTATTGTACTCACAGGCTGTCGAAGCTATATGATGGTTATTTGATTCAAAGTTACCTAGAATGATGTTGCATCTATTCATATTTAAGTGTATATATATAAAATTTAAGTGTATGTTTGTGGTTTCAAAATAAGTATGTTTTCTCAAGTACATTGAGTTATTTATATGATATCAGTACCTAAACAACCATTTCTAAAATTTTATCTGTCTGTCTATCTCTTTGTTTGTCTGGGATAATCTTTGGAATGGCTTAAACGATTATAATGGGAATTTCACTGCAATATAGGAGTCGAGAGGGCTAAAATATTTAGTGTTCCAGCGAGAAAATCGAAAACCCTTAAAAATTTCATGTAAAAATCCGCGGTAACATAATATGTAAATCTATTAAAGTGCACTCGAAATAACTATTTTTATCTATTGAAATAATATAAAATATGATAATAATTACAGACGTGGTGAAGGCTGGTCTAGTCCACTAGAGTCTCTGAGGCAGCAGTTGAGGAAGTTAGATGATTTGGAAGACCAGTTCCCGGACCTGGCGTGCCAGCCCGCGTACAGCTTGCGGTATCCTTTCGCTGAATTAGGTAATTTTTCCTTATATTTAAATATTCTTTTATAGGGAAGTTACTATTGGTATAGTATCAATGTTTCGTACAAGGCAGTAGTAGCCCAGTAGTAACGTGCTCGCTTGAGAAACCGAGTGGAGCGGGTTCAAATTCTGAGTCTCGTAATTTTGATATTTTCATGTGCGAATCATTTTCCAACATTATTACCAATTTTCTTACGATGAAGGCAAACATTGTAAGTCTCCATCTAAGAGAACCTAGCTAGAAGATTTCAAAGACATGCTTAGTCCGCATACACTTGGCCAGGACTTTGACCTGATCCGTCTTGTACTGAAGGGAGGCCCATCCCCAGCAGTGGGACTTAAAAATGGCTGAATACATGTGTTATATACATACATAATGTTGCATATATGGGTAATACATAACATTATATTTTTATAGTTTTCAATAATTATAGAATTAATGTGACGTATTCTATAGAAACGTATTTCATTTGCACATAAAATTGTATTAGATTTTTTTATTATACATAAAGATTTTGCGACATTTATTATATATGTATGTATTAAATTGCTTGACCCATATTGGAATTTTAATTTTTTTTAAAGACTCGTTAAATTCTGGCAAGCAATCTCAAATTAATTTGAAAAACTTAAAGAAGTAATTACGTTTAATGTTTTAAGAATTTTATAAAGAATTATTCTGTTGAAACTTTACCATAATTTCCAGGCCCAGTAACAATAACAGATACACCCGAATTAGAATTTGTAAGGCATAGAGCCCTAGTAGAGAGGGAAGGGATGAAGCGTGCCCGAGCAGTGCTAAGGACTCGTAGGGCTGCCCTAAGGGAGTCTAGGGCTTCGGTCTCCCCTCATAGACCTCCGTCGGTGAGTGCCCTAGATTTAGTTTGTGTCTTGTGATTTTTTTGTGTGGTAATTTTAGGTTTTTTACTTAGTAGAAGTGGTGTTTAAAGAATGTTTGCATTGGTTTGTTAGTCTGCTTCGGTTTTAACAAATAAATCAACATAAATTTTTATAAATCATATATTTATGTGGATTGTTTAATGTATTTATTTGTTTTGATAGGTTCATCCTATATTAACAAACAGACGTAAAATAAATAATCAACATTTATATATAAGTAAATTGTGTATGTTTATCAGTATATAAATTCCAAATAATAATATTTATTTTATTAATACAATAATATTACATATAAGTATATCCATACTTAATATTATAAATGTGAAAGTGTGTTTGTTTGTCTGTCCTTCTTTGACGTCGAACGGAGTGCGGGCGAGATTTTTTTGTGTGGAGATAGTAGGAGGACTGGAGAGTGACATGAGCTACTTATTACCGCGGGAGATTATCTAATTCCTACGAGGAAACACGTTATATTACAATTCAAAAAACTGTTTCTGATCAGGATTACTTGAAACTTGGTATTAATGCTCTTCAATACAAACAAATAAATATGTGTTTATTAAAATTCATCCAATAAGGGAGTAAAATAGGGGATGAAAGTTTGTATGAAACCTAGGTTTTAGAATTTTTTTGTAGTTTCAACTTATTATTATATTAATACAATAATATTACATATAAGTATATATATATTATATGTATATAATATATAGGAAGAACGTGAGACCACCGAGCTAGAGGTTGCGTTGCACCGAGCGCGTGCTCTGCTCGGCGAGAAGGAGATACGCCTGCGGCATATAGAGCGCGCTCTGCGTCGGCTCGCCGATGCTCATCCGATACAGGCATGCTCAGTGCTCTATGCTCAATGCTCAGTGCTCAGTGCTCACTGTTCTTATATTAATGCTCAATGCTCAATGTTCTTTGTTTATATTTTAAATTTTGCGTTTTGGTTTTTGTATATGGTTTTAGTGTTTGTTTTATGTTCAATTCAATGGTTTGGCAGTGTTGTTGTTGTTTTTGTTTTTTTTTATTAATTTTGAATTTTGAAATAGAATGTTATATGCTTATTTATATATGCAATGCTCAGACATTATTTCGTTTATTATGCATACAAAAACATACATAGCCCTTCATACTTTATCCCTTACGTGTGGTAGTTAGAAATAACGGAGTGCCAAGTACTTGGTATCTACATACGTTAACATACGTATGTTTCTATTGGCTTCATTCCAATATCATCGATATTTACATTATACTGTCATTTAGTTTTTTTTAACATGATATAACCCAAAGTATAAAATGTATTTAAACTTTAGCATATATTTACACTCATAAGTCCACGTTATATAAGGTTAATTTTTTTTTGCGTTTTTATTGAAATTTGTTTCAGGTATATTCATGCAGACAATATGGAGAAATATGCTTTCCTTTGATTTTTTAGGGTTTTGGTTTCGGTTTTCAACTTTTGTATTTCATGTTTTTTTTATTTTTAGGATTTTTCACGGATTTATTTTGATTTTTAGTTTCCGAAGTTGAGAATCCATATTAATATTATAAATGCGAAAGTAACTCTGTCTCTATGTTTGTTTGTCTGTAACCTTTTCATACTATATTCGTTGAACCGATTCAGATGAAATTTTGTATGAAGATAGTTTTTTATCATGGAAATCATTTTTTTAAAATATAAAGAGGGAGGTGGAAGTTTGTATGGGGAATCAATAATTTCTCAAGTAAGGTATATAAAACTCATCATACCTTTTTATACATATAATATATTATGGTCTATATATTCCGTAATAATCATTATAACTTATCGCTAGTTTTATTTAATCATATAAAACCATCGGCCATCACAGCAGGAGAATACGACGGACTCGGGGTCGTCCGTGTCGTCGGGCGGCGGCGCGGGCGCGGGCGGCGCGGTGCTGCGCTCGCTGCGCGCGCTGCACGCGGACGTGCGCGACATATGGCGGGCGCTGGACGCCAGGAAGATGGCCCTCACTAACACTGGGACTGGTGAGTTGTGTTATATTTAACATTATCTAGGCCTTTCCGTTATTAAGAAGATGATATTGTGTTATATGGACTATTTATAGAATAGACCATAAAACACACATGTCCGCGATATACTCGTGCGCTAGATGCTAGGAAGTTGGCCTTTACTGACACTGGTACTGGTGAGTACCACTGGTGAGTACCACTCAATCAGACATGTTAATTTAAATTCAGTTATACTTATTTTTAATAATTAAAGAATGTTTCCTTTGAGTGATACTCTATATCTTCAATATTTAATTTATAACCCGTTCGTTTGTTACACTCGGTATACGAAAGCGCTATAACATTAATTCAAGGATTGATCCCGTATTCTAAGATGGTGTAAGAAAGATTTTTCGAAATATAATACCAAAAAAATGATTGTTATTTTTAAGTTAACTGATCATAATTGGAAATAACCTTTCTAGTTAAAAAATTGATTAATCTGATTCAAAGTTTTATTACTTATTATATTTTCGCAGCGTCCCCAGAAACAAGTTCTTGTAATATGCCAACAACTTCTCAAACCAGAATGACGTTATCCGCCGTGAGTATTATACTAGTAATATTATTATTCTATATTACTATTATTCTTGATTTGCTTTGATGCTTATATATAGCACACAGATATTTTTTATACACAGTAAAAAGTCTTATATGATAATATATTAAACTTTTAGACCTTACACTTTTTAGAATAGAAGTAGTAATGTTAGTTATTGTTTATATTTTGATTATGCTTAATAATACGTTTTCTCCTTACACATTGTTTTACATAAATCCACTTTTGATTAAAAAAATATTTTTAATAAAACTATATAAAAAAGCACAATTTATGTGGTGTGTACTGTGTATTATACTTATGAAAAAAAACCGAATCAGTTAAAAAGATTAATTTCCAGCCGGATCCTGTACTACATGACAATTCAGATGGTGTCGCAGAAAGAGCTAAAGGTTTGCGTGCGTGGTTACAAACCACACCATAATTATAAATAACATTCCAATACGTAATGTAACATTTCAATAATTACATATTATGTAATAATTTTCCCAATAATGATAATAACATTCCAATAATCAAGTGTTATTCATATAGTTATTCGATGATAGTTTGTTATTAGCCAAATGACTGAAAATAACAGTAATAACTTTTCTAGTCAACATGAATGTTTAGAGTTTTAAGGTTTTATTATTAATTGAATTATTAGAAGTTTTGTTTCTATATTCTATACATACAATTTATTATTGCTATATAAAAATATTTAGCGATGCATTATATAATATATATTTTAAGCTTCTCATAAATTATTTGTATGTACTCTATTTAAAATGCTAGTAGGATATGTTATTGGATAATTTTATTTACCATATTTTTTTTAAAGAAGAAAGCTAAATAATTTTTAATACATCTTTAAATTGAAATTTAACAAAAACTAAATGCCATGTAACGAAAAAGTATGGAATAAAATTTTAATTGCGTAATTGTCATCTAAATATTCTTATTCGCATTTTAAATTGATTATATATTAAAATGTATTTATTGAAGTTATTTTTTAAATACCAAACGATATATGATATTAAATACAGTATTGAATTATTTCTTGCAATTATTCAAAAGTTAAAAAAGCTTATAGGAACAATTAAATAAACGCGTTCAGTATTTATATAATATGTCCAAACATGAGTCCTATGAAAAAATAAATTCTATTTAATTGCATTTACATATTATTAATTTAATGACATTAAATAAATATTTTATTTATAGTATAGATATTGCTAAAGATATTTTTCCTGCATAACAAATATTTTCATTGTTAATAAAATGCAATATTAATTTTTATTCCAAACTGAAGTCCTTCTATATTTAAATAAATTATATTTTACTGTGGTAAATAAATAAATTGAAATGTATATAATTTTACGCTTGTCAAGGAATCTTCTCTAAGAAAATAATTGACAATAATAACATTGATATGTAAATAAATAGATACGCATTTCCTAATAAATATCTCTTCAAAAAGTGGCGTCGACATGTGACGGTAAGTTAAAACAAAGAATAATATTCAAAATTCGAAAGTTCAAATGTTCTAAACACATATTCGACCTTACGCACACCACATAAAGTACCGTTTTAAACGAAAAGAAATGAACAAAACTGAAAAAAAGCGCAATTCAATTTCGAACTGTACCCTTCTCTTTGAGAACACTTGAGACGTTAATTGTGTATCTTTTATATCAATGCATAGTGGGTACTAAATAAATTGTTTTATAAATATAATATGATATGCATACAATATTACTATTGTTTTTGTTTATTTTTCGATTTTTAATCAACATAATATTATATAAATGAAGTTCTTTTTTAACTTTGTATTTTTTTTTATTTTTGACTCCAACGTCTTAATTATTTTGCTTTTATATTGTTGTTAATTTCCAACAACATTCAAACTATTTACCGAAGAATAACTTTCATTGACACTTTTAAATTAGAATGAATAATGTTTTTTTTATTTGTAGATTTTATTACTTAAATCCGTTAAAAAAACTATTTTTTTGATATATAAAGCTTTCGTTAAATTCCATATTATAATAATAGTCCGATAGTGTCAATTTTAACTACAATTCAATTAATTAAATCAAAACACCTCAAAGTATGATTCCTGATTAAAATAATTAATTTAAATAAGTTTAATATAAACTCATCGATTAGTACAAATTATTTTAATCTGTTACATTAAATTAATTAATCAATTGGTTATTTATTAAATTGGTTAATTATAAATACATATAAATGATTTAATAGCTTCAAGGTTTTATCGCGTTTAACTGAAATATCAGATCTAGTCATTTATTGTAAGAATTGAATTATTTATATAATTCAATCAATTAATTGTACTTATGACAGCTAATAATAATATAATAAAATCTATACAATGTAGAAGAAAGAAGAGGTTGAGTGTGTATTGACAGTGCACTGTCTGTAACAAGTATATAGTGTTCTTTGAAAAGTCTATACCTCAGTCTCTCCCGTGACCATGATTGCTGTAAAGCATTCGAAACGTCGGGAACCGAAAATCTAAATAAATCCGCGAAATAATCCGAAAATATAGGTGATCACTAATCTATACTAATATTATAAAGAGGTAAAGTTTGTGAGTTTGTGACGTTGTAGGTGGTAATATGTATATGTATCAAATTTGGTAAGATAGTTTGAGACCCTGGGAAGGACAAGGATACTTTTTATCCTGGAAATCATCCCTTAAGTGGGTGAAAATGGGGATGAAAGTTGGTATGGGGAATTAACCCTGGGACGAACCCGAGCGAAGTGAGGGTGAGTCGCTAGTTTTTATATACGGCTGTCATAGTGCAATTTTAACTTAGAAAATGAACATGAACGTATTTATTAATAACTATATGTATATGTAATTAATATATATCAAAAGTATTTAACTGATCAATGAACTGTCTTTTTTACTGAGAAATGTTGAAAAAATATGGACTTTCTCATTAAAGTAACGTATTCTTGAAGACTGTGGGAAAATGTATGTGAATAGTATATGTTGTGGTTTCAATTTTAAATATATACTTCATCTATACATATAATAAAATTCTAATTGAGTCGAATCTGTAGATTATTATTTTTTAAATCTTATTGAAATAGTGATTATTATCGATACAGAGGCCGAATCTATAGTTTTTAGATTTTTTGTCTGTCTGTCTGTGACCGCATCACGAGAAAACCACTGGACAGATTTTGATGAAATTCGGCATGATGATAGCTGGTTATCCGGGTCAACATATAGGATACTTTTTACTGCGGGAAAATATCTCAGCTCTGAGAAATATATAGTAAACGTCAAACCGTAACTAGGGACGAACCCGAACAGAGCGAGGGTGACTCGCTAGTGTAATATAATATAAATATTTTCATTATTGTACTATTTGTATACTTTCCTACAGTCTCAATGAAATGGTTCTAAAATATCCACTTTCGGACATTATCTAGTGTAAGAGTAAATAATAATGAAAGTTTGACGCACAAATTCTTCGTCTCCTCTAATTTCAATTAGATTCGTTCGAAATTATCGACACCTGCGAGGAAAAGTATTGTAACTAAGTACTGAGAGGATTTAGAAATTAATAATAAATATATTGACAATTTGTCGTCATAGTGCTTATTTGTTCAACAACCAATACTTGTTGTACTTTACAGTTAAGATTTTTTAAGTTATACTTCTTTTGGCGCGTTTGGAATAAAATTTGAGAGTAAAATTTTTACGATGCGCGCGCACACCGACAGCCAAAAAGCGACATGATAAAGTTAGCTGAAAGCGATATGATAAAGTTAACTGCATTCCTTACAAACAGAAAGTTGTGACATACGGGATGAAAACTTTAGCTATCTTTGTTCTGTTACGCCAAAGTATACGAGACAAATATATAGGTACTGAGACGACGCATTTTATATTACAATGTTGTTTGTTGCAAGTGTCGAGATGTTCTTTAGTTTAAATAAAAAGATTTCTAGTCCCTTTAAACGTATAGATGTTTGAATCTTTAAAGAAATAGACTGATACTTATTGTGAGGTTGTCTCGACTAACAATTTACTATACTTTTTACCCGACTGCGGCGACACGTAAAGAGAGATGTATGTTTTTATTATTAATTTGTTTATTTTTTTATTGTATAGTTTTGTTTTTCATTATAACGATATATTAATAGACTTTAAAAAGATGGCTTGAATACATATTCATAGAGGACATCCTCTGTATATAATTTATGATGTTCGACATTTTTTTTTGTGTATGTATTTGAATGTATTGGTCTTACGACAAATACGAATTATAATTTTTTTTTAAAACTTCGTAATTATATTTTTTACTAACCGACTTTGCAAAAGACGGGTTTCAATATTGACTTTATTTTATATTTAGAACAGTATTAGGAAATTGTTAGCGCGAAGGTTAGATAAAGGTACTGTGATAATAATGTACATTTATTCATTTGTCATTTTATCATCATATTAAAATACAGGGCCGGATTGAGATCAAATAAGATCAATAAAAAAGTGGAGATTCTATATATATATAATTAATTCATAGTAAAATATATAAATATAAAATATTTGAGAACTGACTTTAAAGATTTATTTTCGTAAAATATTTTACTCGTTTATTTTTTGTGTAGTAATAATAGTACCTGGGTGATCGCGGTTTTCGGAAAAGATATAAAAATTTGACCCAAATCTTTTGAACTGTTTCTGAGATACACGAAATAAATGTTTTATATATAAACAAGAATTGCTCACTTAATATTATAAGATACGTACGTAAATTTTCTTTTCCTAAATCCGGCCCTGTGATATACAATGGACGTATACGTAATCTTAGTACTCCCTTTTTCTTCATTTGAAACTGAGATTGGACCATTAAATAAAAAAAAACCTTTAATAACTTATTTATGATTTTTTGTTTGAAAATATAAATTCTAAGGTTCTAATAAGTAAATTGTGTTCTTAAAATAATATTAAAAAATAAAAAATGAACAATAAAATATTTACACTTCAACGGTCCCTAAGCAAACATTGATATATAATAAAATATTTTTTTTATTTTTAGCCATATAATAACCAGTAAAATATCTTTCAAATAAAATTCAAATATATATATCTATTTTCCAAATATTAAATGACACTTTTAAATGATCAGTTATATATAAAAATATATAATTTTTATATATGTATACTTATTATTTACTTTGGGATCGCCATTTTTCAGATAATTTGAATTATGATCATAATAATAGTATTATTAAAGGCATTAATTACTTCTAGTTAAATATATCGGTGTTACGATATTGAGCTAATATTGTCTTGTATTTACAATTGCGTTACGTTTGAAATCAATTCGATTACGTCCATTATAGTTTAATATTATTGTACATATAGTATATGTGACGGTCTACGTGTTGTAGATTATTCGATTGGACTTATCGATTTCTTTGCTATTCGGACTTTAAATATACTATGAAATAATCGGTTAAAATATCGATTAGAATATCGATTAATCTACAATACATATAGCGTGGTTTTTCATATAATTCGCGCACATAACGGTTCTATTATATATATATTATATTATAATATAATAAGGTTTCGTCTTAAGTTGTACGTTTTAAAACTGAATGTAACATGGAATTCCTATCCAAATGCCAAATTCAAAGGGTAATAGCCTCCACACTGACACGTGGATACATAATTGTCGATGATTATTTATAACTTTTTTTTTATAAAATAAAGGAAATTTGAGGAAATGTGGTTTAAATGGTACGGCTAAGTGGTTGCGGGTTCGATGTTCGTAAGTCATGTGAAATCTAAGCTATTTTTAACTTAAATTACTTCATTTCTATATTCTATTCTATTGTAATTCAGCCCTTTTTAAAGTCCCACTGCTGGTCACGGGCCTCCCTTCAGTACGAGCAGAATCAAGCCATAGTCCGCCGCGCCGGCAAAGTGCGGGCAGACTTCACATGTCCTATGAAAACGTGCTAGAGGTTTCCTCACGATGTTTTTCTTCACCGTCAGACATCTGGTAATCATGTTGGAATATCAGAGGTGCTAAACCCGGGATTTGAACTCGCTTCACTCAGTTTCCCAAGCGAGCACTTTATATTACTTATTGTAATACTTATTTTATTTTTATTGTAATACTTATTGTCGTTCAATTCAAGCCAATTTTTTATCCACGTGTGAATAACATAGTTACTAGTAATCTTTGGTGTCTGTAAAGGATCTTTAGAGTTTGTTATTTCCATTACGTAGCATTTCTACTACAACATGTAACTTTTTAGATGTATATGTAACAATAAATTTTATTTAAATGAAATGTTTGCAGTATATTTTATGAGAAATAAAAAGTTTTTGCAAAATAATAATCTCAATGACTTTCATTGTCTAAATAACAGGTTCTCGGACGAGATTTTTTATAGTTTGCCTTATAACATGAAATTTACTGCAACATTTAAAACTTAAACATAAATAATAACAGTGTGGAGGTATACTTTCAATACATATTTGTTACCGGCTGGTATCACACTGGCAAAATAAACGAAATATTTTTCTTTGTGTCTCAATAAAGTATTAATTAAATTAAAATATAAGTAAGTATATGTGAAATTGTAAAACAATTTAAAATAAAGCAATAGATTTCCCGCATTTCCCTACCTGTGTGGTACCATCCTAATATTTGTAAGTTAACAATATTCTACTGAAATAAAAACACTATATCGATATTTTGTTTCATTAAGTAATTCACCATTCAGAACTCATCACCTCAGTAGAGTTAAAAATGAAATTATTACTAGGTTTGTACCTGAAAAAATAATAAAAATTATTAAAATTGACAATATTTTTAAAATTTGAAATGATCACATTTATTCTATTTTTTTCGTAAATTGACACATTTTTTTTTTAATTTTTTTAAAATAATACATGGATAATTAAATTAAATATTTCATGGATACATATTAGACATGTTATATTTATTTTATTTTAAGTGAAGGTGTTGTAATTCAGAAAAAAAAAATATTTCCTTTAAAGAATAAATATGTATGTTTACATCACTTCAATAAAAATAACCGACTTGATCACGGTTATTTTAAAAGCTTTTTAACACTAACAGAATTTTAAATCTGCATAAAAGTTCAAGTAATAATCACGTAAAAAATATCTTTACTATATAAACAAAATAAGAAACTTACCAAAATATCTAATGGCCGAGCTGTAAACAGCTGGAATTCCTTTAATAATTTCACTTTGAGTTATCACTTCGGGAGTGCACATGACTTTGGCGTCGCTCGTTCTAATGTAAGAGAGATATGACCAAACGTGCCATAATTTTGATGTTACGTTCCAATACCGGTCGGTAAAATCTGCTTGTAGCTAGAAAATTAGACAGCTATATATATACACAAATGCGAAAGTTTGTTTGTATGTGTGCGTGTGCGTGTCCGTGTGCGAATGCGTGTGTGCGTTCGTGTGCGAACTCGCGCACATGTGTGTGTACTGCTCCACTGTAATGGCTGGACGGATTTTTATGAAATTACATTGTACATAGACTATGTATACCTGGAGTAATATAGGTAAAGTAGTGTTGTTTATTTATATTTTTTTCATTGGTGACGCTAAACATAAACATGTATTATAACAAACAAACACAAAAGACATCTAGGGATATAGTCGATAGTAAGAAATACAAACACTCGTATATACGTAATCACTCATTTACTTGCCTGTTCTGAGACAACTAGAGCCCTAAAACAAAATATTAGGTGCACTAAATATGAACCCTAGCGAAGAGGTCATACTATAACGGATCTCAACTAATTGAAATTTAGATACATACACGTGTCGAATTAAGAACTTCCTCCTCTTTTTCCGTCAATTAAAAAAACTAAGGCATGAGTAAGTACGTTATATATGTATATTATATAGTTATACTAGCACTGCCCGCGGCTCCGCCCGCGTTCAGATGACCAAAAACCAAATTCTTAGGTTCTACATATTAGTATACTCTTACATTGCAGTTTTTGTATTTTTTCTCAGAAATGAGATATTTTCCCGCGGTAAAAAGTATCCTATATGTTGACCCGGATAACCAGCTACCATCATACCAAATTTCATCAAAATCTGTCCAGTGGTTTTCTCGTGATGCGGTAACAGACAGACAGAAAGACAGACAGACAGACAAAAATTCTAAAAACTATAGATACGGCCTCTATACCGATAATAATGTCTATTTCAATAAGATTTTCCAAAAAATATTTAATGTACAGATTCGGCTTAGTTACAATTTTATTATATGTATAGATCTAAAATTCATTTTTTTATTAAATAAAGCACAGCATATTTGGTACTCTGTGTAAGGTAGGACTTGACTCAGAATATTGCAGATTTATTATACTACATGTCCATAAACATAGATAACTATTTAGAAGAAGAAGATGTGTGGTGTAGGTGAGTACGGGAAAAAAATATTTTTCGGATATCAAAAAATCAACAAAAGGGTGAAAGCGGGTCAGATAGCTAGTTAAATTTGTATATATTTATGTGTAGTGTATCAACTATCTGGTATTCATAACACAGGCCTCGTAGCTTACCATGGAACTAGATGGCCCTGTGTGTTAATGTCCTAACATATTTATTTATTCATATTCAATATGTAGGGGACATACAAACTTAAAACATTCTTTATAAGATTTGTGTACATTAAAAATACATACTTTATCATTATTATCAAGGGTCCATTGTAGTCGCGGGGCGGGCAGACCAGTGGAGGAGCAGTTCAGCATCACGCGGCTTGGGGATGATCCATCTCCAACTTTGCTCACTAACGTTGCGTTTGTTGGAGGGACTGAAATATTAAACATTTTTTATATATTATACTACCTACGGTGATTATATTAATATTAGAAACATCACAGTGAGTCATTTATTCTATAGTTTCTTTTCCCCCAGTATTTCGTATTTACCGTAAAGGTAAATATTACTTGCTATTTGATAAGATATCATTATGTATACGTAAAGTAATATGTTGTTTTTTTTTATTTGATAAATCTGTATAAATGCGAAAGTTTGGATGAATGGATGTTTGTTACTCAATCACTCTGAAACACCTGAACGGATCTGGATGAAATTTGGCATAGTGATAGTCTGAAACATTGGCTACTTTTACCCCGGAAAAATGTACGGTTCCCGTGGGATAGATGTATTTTTGTTTTTCACAAGTTAGCCATATTTTCCTTACCTAATATCTTAACAAGATAATCTTTTTTTTCTATCCGAAACATAGGCCTTTCGCCGGAAACTTCACAAGTGTATGTAAAATCATTTATGCCAGGCTGATATATTTCCAAGAGCATTTTGCATGAACCTTCTTGTCCTCTGTCCCTAGTGATAGCGCAATCAATATACATCCCAGTTTGTGGTGTTTGAAAGATTTCACTCTTTGTTTGACCATGTCTCTGAAAAATATCATTAATAAGATAGATTAAAATGAAAAAATATTTTATGTATGTACTTCGCGTACCTATATTTAATTTAGAATAATTTATAATATTATAAAAATTATAAAACATTTGGTAAGAAGATACTTTGAGACCCTAGGAAGGACTAGGATACTTTTTATCCAGGAAATCAACCCTTAAGGGGGTGAAAATGGGGATGAAAATTTATATTGGGAAGCAAGCCACGGACGAACGCGAGCGAAACGAGGGTGAGTCGCTAGTTATATTATATTTACTTATATTATAAAAATTTTAATATCATGTTTTTTTTTTCTTATTCTTCTCAGCAAACCCTTTTATTTGATATCCATATCACGGGGGTGCATTAAAAATAGTCCACCATCTTTGGGAGTCCGCCATATTAGATTTACGATGACAAAACGTAACGCTTATATTAATTGTACTTCTCATAAAAATTCTATGCTAGGTGCCTTACATGAAAATGGAGTAAACTCCAAAAATATACACTACATATGAATAAATAAATCAAAGAAAGAATCTAGTAACACATGCACACAATCAAATAATTTTCAAATGACGTTTGGCTCGGTTTGTAGTGACTCTAATGTGCCAGCGATCGCGGGCTCGAGTCCCGCTAGGTGCATTTATTTATGTGATAAGCACGAATATGTGTATTCCAGTCACAGGTTTTTATATTTATAATATGTATATATGTATTTTAAGTTATATATGTGTAGTGTATCAACTATCTAGTATCCATAACATAAGCCTCGTAGTTTACCATGGAACTAGGTGGTGCTGTGTGTTAATAGTAATCTAAACATATTTAAACTGATATAAAGTAATGAATCATTTACGTAAGCTATCAGAGCCGTATTCAGTGAAGCTTGTAAACAAGCGTATAATAGAGAGGAAACGGATGGTTACCGGCTAAAATACTCGGAAAGGGAAGATTACCCACTCGACAATGATCATTCAAATGAGACCGAAAAGTAAAATACGTGTATAACAATATCCAAAGTTAGGACGGGCTTTGAGGTAAAACATAACTTCCTATTTAACTCTCAAAATTAATCCAATAAGGATAGGTAAAATATACGCAAAATATATTTTAATATTATTATATTTATATATTAAAATGAGTAAATCAAAAATATTAGATATTAAGTATATTATTATTTTCTCAACGACCGTGGACACGCCGGCATTACAATTAACAATAGATTTCTTAGAAATTGAATTATTTCTTAGAAATATACCTGGAAGTGTTATAAGGTTTTTGCTTTGTGAAAAATAACGAAAGCTTATGCTTGCAAATATTGTAGATATTATAATTTATTTTAAGGATTAATAATTTTTGATATATTTCTATCAATTTTAGCGAGACTAACAGTAGGTACCTATAAGTGCACAATTCACAAACATATTATGCATTCTTTATTCTGGCATCTTCATTCATCATCATTTCATCTCCCAATTCCACCGATTGAAATAGTATTTAGTTACATTCTTAAGTTATTATCTGTACAATAAAAGAATCTTAATTATTATTTAATTTTCTTTTTGGGCGATGAGTAAGTAATGCGTCAGACCAAATTTAATTAATTATTAATTACATAACGAACATAAAACAATTAGAGAGGAAAAAGGTCAAACCGCAGTTAAATGACTTTGTGCGTGAAATGAGTAATTTTTTAAAACTAAAACGATCAGAATTTTGATCTCATGTTCAAAACTGGTACTAGAGAAGTACTAGAAACAAATTGGGTTTTTCTTCGTCTTGTTATACCCACGAGACAGACCGCCTTTAAATGAATTTTATTATGGTGCTCATTTATATCTAAGGCCGATAGGCGTCTACTCAGCGTGTCTTTTGGCCTAAAGGCAATTTTACATTCAGTCAGTAACTGGCCTTAGTCCACTGCCGAGTCAGTGCTGACCTGGCATTGCCATCGTGTAAATTAATTTCAAGTCAGTACAGTACTGTCGCGTCAGTACCGATTTCAATATTCGCGCTTCATATTTTTGGCGTCATTCCGCTCCGTCACCCGCGCCAGCACAACTGACGCTGTGTAAATGCCGAAGTCAGTCATTTTTCCGCACTGACTTTACGAACGTGTGTACACCAAAAGAAATATCCTCGACTACTGACGAAAGGTATGATTGCCTCGGCTAGATTGCTTGATGGTACTAAACCCGCCCACAAGAACATTTGGGGTGTCGTGATTAATGGGTAAACACTAAACACAATAAAAAATTACCATCAACTAACCATAACGGTTTTTCGGCATTTCAATTCCTGCATATATTTTTTATGATGTTCAGTGACAAACGAGCAGACAGACCACCTGATGGAAAGCAGTACGTGTCGCCCATAACACTTAGATTTAATGTAACAAAAATGCAGAACCGCAGGCGCGTTGTCACTGTGAGGACTAAGATAATATGCCTCTTGCCTGTAATCGCGCTGGCTACCTTATCCTTCAAACCGGAATACAACAAGGCAATTATTGTTGCTTGGTGGGAGTAATATAAGGGGGTGGTACCCATCCAGTCGGACTCCTCAGGCTTGACAGAGTCCTACCACCGGTATTATACATTCTATTAGTTAATAAGAATTTTAATTACTTTTCTTTTTGTGCAATTCAATAAAACTACCAAAAATACATTAACTCAATTCTGATCTAAATAAACTAAATATTTAAGAATCGCTACAGTTTCTATATTCCCTGTGGAAAAATAACAAGAATATAGGAATAAAGATTTTATCTTGCAAAGTATCTACGTAATAGATACGTTGTACCTACGATTAGATCTATCCACGGTAACATCGTAAATGCTCTATAATCTAAACTCAGTGGATAAGCTCGGCAATATATCTATGTACCGAAGGTTTTCTTCACAAATAGCTTTCCAGTCTGTTAAATAAATAAAAAGGGACCAAGGACTCGTGTAACGGCCAAATTAATTGCCCGCCCGGCTATTCATAATAAAAATTACTTCTGCAAATGTACTGCGGATTAAGCCGGAGATAAGGTCCAATAGTTTTTTTACTGACACTAAAAGGGATTATTTTAATTGCCTTGTGAGAAGCCTTTTTAATTTAAAATTATAATAGAATGAACAAGAGTTTTAGTATTTAACACGTTAATTTTTGTTTTATAAGCCACGACGTAAATTCGACTGCACGTTTGGCTCAGTTTGTAGCGCTGTGCTACTACTTGCTGTTCGAGCGGTCGTGGGTTTGAGTCCCGCTGGGGACATTCATTTGTGTGGTGAGCACGAATGTTTGTACTTCAGTCATGGGTGTTTATATTTATAATATGTATGTATTTAAAGTTATAAGTGTATAGTGTATCAACAATCTGGTATCCATAACACAAGCCTCGTAGCTTACCATGGAACTAGATGGTGCTGTGTGTTAATGTTCCAACATATTTATTTATTTATAAATATGTTGGAACAAACCAAACTTTTTGATGATGTTTTCTGTTTTTGTGATTCAGGATTTGGATCTAATATGATTATTGGATCTAATATAATTAACACTATATTTTATATTTTCTTTATGGTTATAAATATAAGAATGGCAACACTAAATATAGATTACTAATTAATATTTTAAAATTGTAATAATTATAAAAATAATAGCAAAAATTAAATAAATAATATTCCATATTCAATTATAATTAAAATTATAAAAATGTTTAAAGTTAAAAAATATTGTAATGTAATTAGTGCAATTTTCATTTTGTTGATTGTGGGTAGGCTGTCTGTAACAACTATACCTCCAAGACATGTAACACCTCAGTCTCTCCCGTGACCATGGATGCTGTAAAGCATTCGAAACGTCGGGAAACAAAAATGCAAATAAATCCGCGACAAAATCCGAAAAGATAGTTTTATTTAAAATTATAAAAGAAATTATTTATTTAATGTTGGTCCTTAATTTTCTATAATGAGATAGAAAAACCTACTGCCTCTTGCATACTTGCTAGAGACCATAAATTATGATTTATTAGAGACACACCCTCGTTTCGTTCGTGTCTCCGTGCCTAACAGTAGCCTGAACATGTTACAAGTCTATCTATATATAAAGTTTCATTCAAATCGGTCCAGCTATTTTTGAGTGAAGGAGTAACACACATGTACAGACACATACACAGACACTACAACTATTAACTTTTGTAAATATCATAGTAGTCCGATATATGTATAATATACATAGGTACACAATATACCTATGTTTGAATTCGAATGTTTGTGGTATCTCCTTTTTTCATTAGAAGATGTTTCTAAATCTATAAAATCCAAAAATATTTTATCGAAGCTCTTGTATTTCTTACATTGTAATTCAAAGTTAAGTTTTCTTCAAAAAATATATTTAAAAATTTAGGAAGTTTCGGATTTTGTAGGAAAAGTTCTGCTTTCTTATGTCTTACATACTAATATTATAAATGTGAAAGTTTATGAGGATGTTTAGATGGATGTTTGTTGCTCTTTAACGCCAGAACGTCTAAACGGATCTGGATGAAGTTTGGCACAGAGATAGATTATAGTCTTCAAAAGTGCTTGTAATAAGTCTAATTGAATAAAGTTTATTTCGTAAGTAACATACATACATATTTTCTTTGTAGAAATCATTGATATTATAATGAAATTCTTTCAAAGATCTCCGTTTTAAAGATGAAACGGATTAAACTGCTAAGATTTTTTGTTTATTCAAAACTTGTTTTATAGGAATATTATTAAATATTTTGTTAGAATATCAAAATAATACCTTACCTCGGGTCGATAAATCATGAACTGCTGCCCATCATTGTAAAGCCTAACCGATTGAAGCGTATCGTTCTGTAGGGTTTCCCACGTGCACACTATCTCCATACCAATATTGGGCTGCCACGTACCCGTAATGTTAACATCTATCGCGTGTGCTATTGACACTAGAAATGAGACGAAAAATTCATGTTAAATAAATTATTTATAACAAAAAAAAACACACACACACTTCGTAATCACTTAAAAGTAACTATTCTACTCATGTGGGCCGAATAGTTAATCTATATATATATATATATATATATATATATATAAAAATCAATTGCTGTTCATTAGTCTTGCTAAAACTCAAAAACTATAATAATAACAAAAAAAAGAATAATTTTTTTTTGTTTTATTGGGGGTGTGTGAGTTAAAAAATAAAATCTGATCCGGGAAAATCCAAAAAAACTGCTGGAAATTCGAAAGGTTTAGAGATGTTTATTTTGTATGATGAGTCACTAACCACTAAAACGCACCTAGCGAAACACCCGAGCGAAGCGTGGGTGAGTCGTTAGTCTGGAATATTTATATAATCCTTAGACTAGAAAGGTATTAAAAAAATACGAATATCCACTATACAAGCAAAAGTTATGTATAGGTAAATTGTGTTTGTGTTTAGCCCTTTTTAACGTCCTCTGCTGAGCACGAGTCTTGCTTTAATGCTAGAGTTCAGGATATTGTAAACCACGTTTCCCAAGTGCGGGTTGGCGGACTTCACAAACACGGTTTTTGAAAACTAGTTATGTTCTCTCAAACATGCAGATTTCACGACGTTTTCACCGTAATACAAGGGGTAATAATGTTGTAAATTATTTTCAACTTTAACAACAATTATTTACATGAAAATATTAGAGTTGCTAGGATTTGAATCTGCTTCAATTGATTTTAAGCAAGCTTGCTACCACTGGTCTACCCTATGCCTGTCTAGTTGATATTAATTGTGATTTTCTATTGAAAACTCATCTATATGAGAGTTATGATTAATTAGTCTATATCACTCAGGGATAATCTAGCTTTCCATTAGGGAAAGAACTTTCAGAATCGGATCAGTAGTTCCGGAGATTATGTCCAACATTAAAACTTACTTACTATACCTTTATGTATAGTATAATTTTATGTGACGATAAATGTATGAACACATCAAATAAAGGTACCTTTAGTATGTAACTTATAACACAAATTGCTTTCTTTATTAAATTTGGTTAATCTATGACTTAGATAAAAATAACAGATATACAGTCAGATTTTGTACTTATAACATTAGCAAGAGAAATAAGACTAAACGCTTTAAAGGAAATACACAACCACTGTTGTATTGATTTATCGATAATACATTCATTACGCGAATATTTGACATTTGAAATGCCTTTCGGATTTTTCGCGGATTTATTTTGATTTTTAGTTCCCGACGTTCCGAATGCTTTACAGCAAACATGGTCACATGAGAGACTAAGGTTTTCGACGCCTCAAAGGTCTTTATATACTTGTGACAGACAGCACAAACAACATATATTGTAAGGTACCTACTTTGGTGCCATTTTGGAATTTCTGAAATCATTTTGTATATTTGTGGGTAGGCACTATCTGTAACAACTAACAAGTATATAATTTGAACACAGTAGCCATGTGATACAAAACTCATACATTTTTTATAACTTATCAAGTCTAAAAGCGAACTAATCTGATAAAAGTTAAAACCTTTAACTTTGGTAAACTACTAATGCACTTAACGTTATCAAATGCATCCATTTAAAATTTAAACGAACATTTTTGCGAGAAATAAACAACACACAAAGCTTATATACCTACGGCGCTAAAACCTTTATTTACATAAGAATCGTTTTTGTCAAGGCGAGTGTATTAAACAATTAATTATGCAAATATATGGTATGGTAACAAGGGGAGGTCACGTGACGTAATACGAAAAAATATAAAATTCTGTTCTAATTGTAATGTGTTTGTGATACAGTGTGAATTATAAATAATTCATTTAATAAAATATCATTAGTAATTCTTTGAAATTGTTCGCTTGCATTTTGAGAATATATAGAAGTCGCGATAACTGCGTCGGTGGTGTAGTGGCTAGCATGTATGGCTACACACCCGGAGGTCCTGGGTTCGAGTCCCGGGTCGGGCCAAGATTAGTTATTGAGTCTTTCTGTATAGTAAGCCCCAGTAACAACCCGGAGTTGGGAAGTTGGCGGCGTTGCACCCCCGTGCCTCGGAGAGCATGTAAAGCCGTCGGTCCTGCGCCTTAACTCTCACTGGTCGTGTCGAGTGGTCGTCCCACCGGAGTATGAGAGTGCCAGGAATAGAGAGTGCACTTGTGTCTGCGCGTACACTTGTGCACTATAATATCTCCTGCGCAGTTGGCTAGTCTCAATGAGATTGGCCGCCGTGGACGGAATCGGTCAGGAGAACATCATATGGACACGGCTACGCTCGCGCATTATATTTAAACATAATGGTATCGCACGAGAAATTCGTAGAATAATATCGGCAGTGTATAACTTTTTAAGCAAAAAGGTTATTTTTGGGATTTTAAAATATGTTTTTAAATATAACTGGTAGTTCCAGAGATGAGTGGGTCCAAACAAAACACATCAGTTTTATAATGTTACTATAGTTCAAAAATCTAATTAATGTAAGTTATAAAACGAAATTGCTCGTATCTAATTTAGATTGTATGTAGAGAAAATTTAAAATTTATATTTATACTAGCAGAACCCGCGGTTTCGCTCGCGCTAAAACTACAAAAGAACTCTAAAAAGGCAGGTTTCATACAAACTTTCATGCCTTATTTTACCTCCTTATGGCATGAATTGTATTGAAAAGCATTAATACCAAGTTTCAAGTAATTCAGATCATAAATATTTTTTTGGGTTGTATTATATCGTGTTTTCCCATGGGAATGAGATGATTTCCCGCGGTAAAAAGTAGCCTATGTCACTCTCCAGCCCTTCAACTATCTCCACATAAAAAGCACGCCAATCTGACGTCCCGTTTCCACGTGAAAGAAGGACAAACAAATAAACAAACACACTTTCACATTTATAATATTAGTATGGATGCCACAAATTTTGTTAAGACTTTAGAGTAACTTAGGTGCTACTTAATAATATACACATTTGTACATAGAGGTATAAATGATGTTAATATGTCTTATAACTTGGGTATATTACTATGTTTTTGCACTCTATTTACTTAGAACTTATTCATTTACATCTGAATTACCATTCTGAAGGAATCGAACTTATATCAAACCTTAGAATTTGGTATAGCACCAACAAACATTTCGTGCAAGCTTCTCGTTTCCACTAAATTATACAATATATTATAAATCTTACTGTATTTTCAAGGAGTACGTACCAGACGTGGTATCTGATGATCCTATCTTAGGTTAAAATCGTTTTGCAAATTTACAAACTGACAATGTAACTATCTTTTCATGGAAATATGAATGGCTAGATGTCATGATGCTATGAATATATAGCTTTCGAAAATATTTATGGCCTAGAATTTTTTACCTACTTGTCAATATGAACAATTAAATCTTTATTTTTGGTAAAATATTGTAGAGAATGTCAATATTTTTTCAAACGTACCACTACTGGGCACAGGCCTGCCTTCTCTACAATGGGGATCTGACCATGGTCCACCATACTGGTCAAGTGCTGGTTGGCGGACTTCTGTCAGACATGCAGGTTTCCTCACAATGTTTTCCTTCACCGTAAGACAAGACAAAAGAATATCTTAAAACAACGAATATGCGACTTTAAAGTTATTTAATTTGCATTATATCTATGCCATTCAATTTTTTTAAATAATCTCTTCATTAAAATTAAAAATAAATGTTTAAATAAATTAAGAACGATTTATCTGAATAATGAATGGCAACACAAAGTATAATGTTAAAAATATTTTTTCCTCCATATTTTTTATTACAGCCCAATAAATCATAGAACAAGGAGCTCGAAGGCAATATTTCACTCAGTTTTTAATGTAATATTAACTAGCTTACATTAAAATGCATTCTAACTAAGCAACGAATTAAAAATGTCATAAAATATTCAGCCATTATAATAAAGTAATATTTATAGAGCTTCAATGCGCTTGGTCTTTTAATTTTGTCAATTAAGCAAATCAAAACCAAGCTAGGGGACTTCCCGTATCTTTTTAATATTTTTATAGACCCACTTCATAAGATCGTTGTAACATTTATTATTTACTGCACTCTTATACACTATAAGAACGGTGAAATTATGCTCAGAAATATTTACTAGATACGAGTATATGCTGGTTTGGTGGAGATAATTGGGGATTAGCACTAGTTTGCATCAAACACTTGGGGAAACTATATAACGTAGAGGTATAATTTGTTCCTTCTATGCATAAGAGATAGAAGTAAAAGTTATATAATAAGTATACTTATTGTACAAATTTGATTGATATGGATAATACAACGACAAAAATCAAGTGATTTATTTATAAGTATCTCAAATCTATACATATAAATAAAATTGAAATGTCTGTTTGTAGTGTCAAAATAACAGATTTTTGTTGAATGTATATAAAAGTACCTATATACGGTTCCTATTTATAAAAAAACATCATTATCAGTATTATATTTGTCTGTCGGGTGGACTGATTTTGATATGACTTTAGACATTAGGCAACTTTTATTTTAGAAAAAGAATTGGGGTTACTGTGTGTGTGTGTGTGTGTGGGGGGGGGGACTGTGAACAAAATCTAGGGACGAACCCTAGCGAAGCGAGGGTAAGTCGCCAGTCGTAACTAAAATCAAATTTTGATATTGTAGTGTATACTTATATTAATGAAAAATAAATAATTCATCCTACTAATATTATAAACGCGAAAGCTTGTATGAATGTATGTATGGATGTATGTTTGTTACTCTTTCACGCAAAAACTACAGAATGGGCTTAGATGAAACTTTACAAAAATATAGCCCAACATCCGTATAACATCAGTATAACACATAGACAACTTTTTATCCCGGAAAAATGTACGCTTCCCGTGGGATAGATTTGTTTTTTATTTTAATAGATATATACATATACATTACAGATATATTAACTTATTTAAAGAATCTTAAGAACTA